CTACCTATTTTAATATTATAATTTATAATATATAATTATATACATTTTTACATAATATTATGTTGATAAGTCGTCAGTCATGAACTCGTGACGTTAACAAACTAATAAAGTCGATAATATTAAATACGCATATTATACGCATGTCCATTTCCCACAACTACCGCTGGCGCCTACCGGGTGTTTTCTTTTTTCTTGTTAGTTGTTATTTGCTAGTGTTCAGTTCAGTTTCAGTATTCACTATTGAGTAACGACAGTAGGTAACTATATTGTTGGCAGCCGGCAGGTACTTAGTCTACTGAGTTTTTTCATTTCGGTTCGTGTAGTTAATTCATTTTATTACATCCATATTCTATAACCATGTAGGTGTGGTTCTTGTTCTACTGTACGGCTGTAGAATAAGACAATTTTTTTCTGTGCTATACTATGATCACTGGGATAAACTATTATTTATTTATTAGGTATCCTTTAAGTCTTAGACTATTACCGTTTAAACACTAAAACAACATTGACATTGAAATAAAGCAGTTCAATAATCGCAAGAAAATAATTATCTGCATTCTGCGTGCTGTGAGTGGAACGTTGGAATTTTAAATCATCTCTAGATTTCACCACGTAAGTAAAACTGTAAAAGTAAACATTAATAGATAAGCTTCTTGCTTCTACATAATAATAATTAATATTATATAATATATTATATTATAATACAGTTCTGAATTTCAAATATAGTAATATTAATTATTATGATGGACGACGGTTATATTAATTTTGACTACCTATATTTTCTATTTTTTATTTAAAAAAAATATATTCAATGAATAGTTATTGTGATATATCCATATAGGTGCTGACATGTGGTTTACTTGCGTGTATTTAGCTCAAAATAATAATTTATAATGATGATGATAACCATAGACATAAATACATAATCACAAAGACTAGAATATTATATATTTATTTTTTTGAGGGGGTGGGGCATTGTATTTTTTAAGTTTTACGACACAAATATAAAAAAATGGCCCAATTTACTAACTTAGATGCTAGGTCAAAGAGGGGGTGGGCCCCTCTGGTCCCCCTTTAAATTCACCACTGGACATAATATAAATTTATATATTATATCTATATGATGATAATATCTCACAATCATTTAAAATATTATAAACTGTATTAAAATAAAAATAATAATAAGTCTTGTTACGAGCGCTTCCCCGCAGTAAGGCATTTGGCTGGCTTATCATAATATAATAACGTTATCATAGAGTTAATCTGCGACAATAGTTAAATTTTTTCTGATCCTATCTAAAAATAATAATTATAATAAAATTGGTTTCAATTTCAAATTGGTACTTAATTCAAGTATTTGAAAAAATTTCCGGAAACTTCAAAAGTTATGGCAATTCAAAGTTGTCAATATTAAAAAATATAGGTACTTTTGAATGGACGAGCGAGTGACCACGCTGGGAATAAATATACTTAGAAACAATATTGAGGAAAACCGAGGTTTACCTGAGGTAGTTCACACAGCAAATAGGGGGATATTTTCGATTTGCGGAGCGGAGCGACGGCGCCGAGGAGCGTAGCGACGAGTGCCGATACACGCGTAATCGCTGCAACTTTGATATGCCATAACTTGTGAGAACAGTGAGTTTCTGGAAATTTTTGTAACTGGGAAACGGTGTAGCTGGTGGTACGCAAATTTAAAAAGTTTGAGAACCGCTGGTCTAAAGCCCTGTTCACACGATCAAATAATTTGTCAAATATTTGACATTCGTCAAACTCCAAATATTTTAGAACCATTTCTAAAATATTTGAAGTTTGACATACATCAAATATTTGACAAATTATTTGATCGTGTGAACGGGGCTTAAAGAAACTAAAAATTATACAATACAAACTATTACAAATAATACATTTCTATGTACCTATCAAAATTAGAAAATTCTGAATTTTACATATATTTATATTTTTTTAAATTCTATGTTAACGTTATTATTTGATAAGCCAGCCAAATGCCTTACTGCGGGGAAGCGCTCGTGTCTTGTTTACCATGGCTTTTTTGTATATTACCATAATATGTATCGTGTATACCTAAAATTTTTTTTTACTGCAGCCTGCTCAATATAATTCCGATTTCCGATTCAAAGATACGTAATAATCCTAAGATTATATACCTAATATGTGTTATGATGATGTTACAAATTAAAATTAACGTAAACTTAATATGAACAAGTGAAAACAAAATATAGAGATAATGATTAATAAATTATAATTAAAAGATCGTATATTTATATTGATTTTGGGATAATTTTATGCCAGACTGAAGTTAATATATTGAATATTGATTTGTGGATACGTCCTAAATGATTACAATGTCATGTCGGAATCGGAAACTGAAAGATATAGGCATGATTATGCTTTATACTATAAATATCTTTCAGGTACCTATATAAAGCTTATAGATACGGGGCAACGGCCCGACATATCCTCAATCAAATGTCCACAAATCAATAAATTAACTTAAGACTTATATAAATTGATCAAGTTAACATTAATTGTAACAAATGTTTACAAACATCATTATAATTAATAATATTGAATATATGTATTAACTTGGTTTGAAATTTATTTTCAAACAAAATATTTCTTAAATTTAACGTTATAATTACTTCTAAATCTAGTTTATCATATTTTCCAATATTTTTTTCTGGAAACCTTTGTATTACAACCAGTTAAGAACGATGGTGCAAAATTTATTCGCCCGAAATTATTAGTTTTTATGTTATATGGCTATAGCCTTACGATGGTTCACGATTTTCAGTGTTTTACACACATGTATCTTCATCGCGTATAATGAATTTTCAAAATTTATTTTGAAACCTTTTTTTTAGATTCTGAGTGAACGATGAATGTATTGATTTACAATGATGTGTGTTTTTTTTTAATTTTTTAATTTTTGTGTCTGTGTACACGATAAGTATTCGAAATAATGCTTCGATTTTCAACTTCAGTATCTTGCTCAATATGGGAAATTGAATACATGTAGGTGCATTTGGGAGGTCAAATTTTAAAATTCCCAATAGTTTTCAAAAGCGACGGGAAAAACAATATAAAAATTAAGGAAAAACAGGAATTTTAACGCAAAATCGGTTTTCCAGAAAATCGATTTTGGTTTTTGGTGTAACTCTAAAATAAATGAACGTATATACATGGAATTTTCACTGGTTGTTTATATTTGCATTTTCTATACACGATAACATTTTAAAAATATTTTAAATTGTTTAGGAACATTTTCAGTTTTCCATTTTATTAGTCTTTTTTTAATGGATGTCAATAAAACTTTATTTGTTGGGTGAAAAAGCTTGACAATTTAATATAAGGCTCCTACTATATTGTTACAATGACATTTGAAAAATATTAAAAATCCTTAGTCACAGTATTTTTAATAAGCATTTAAAGTTCAAATTTTGACAAAACACGGAAAAATCACGAAAATTAGCAAATTATTTTGAGTTGAGAATTCATAAAAAAATTTCTTTTTAAATCTAAGGTTTGAAAATTTAATATAAGATTATTCATAAGTATGTCTACCTTCATAAAAAAAAAAGTTTACAAGCAAATCAAATTAAATTTTTATGAGCTTTTGAAGTTCACATTTTTACAATATTGGATATTCACTCGATTCCTCATGTAGCGATTTTGTTATTTTGTTGTAATTCAAAAACGAATAACTGTAGATACACGAAAATTTAACTCAATGTTGATATTCTCATTTTATATATACCATACAATTTTGAAAATATTTTGACTCTTTTTAATAAGTAATTTCGTCCAAATTTGAATTTAAAATGACTATAAAAATAAACTGTCAATTTGTATTTTTTAGATTTTTTGGTAACAGAATTAACTACTTACGTGGAATTTTGTTTAAAATTTTCAATCCTTAGATATACAAGTTGAACATTTTATACATTTTTAACTACAAAATAATTATTCAATTTTAAATTTGATAAATTTTGTCAAAATTCGATCTTTAAATGCTTATAAAAAAAAATTGTGCCTATATGTATTTTTAATATTTTTCAACTGATATTGTAACAATATATCAGGAGGTTTGTATTCAATTTTTACACTTTTTGGCCCAACAGATAAAACTTTATTGATATTTAGAGAAAAGAAAACTAAAAATATTGAAAACTGAAAATGTCCGTAAACAGCTCGAAAAGTGTCAAAATATTTTCAAATATAAACAAAAGTATTTTTAATTATAAACAACCAGTGAAAATTTCATGTATCTACGGTCATTTGTTTTGAAGTTACACCAAAAACCAAAATCGATTTTGAGTAAAAATTCTCATTTTTCCTTAATTTTTCTTTTGTTTTTCATGTTGCTTTTGAAAATTACTGGGAATTTTAAATTTTGACCTCCCCAATGCACCAACGATATTCACTTTCCAATCGAACAAGATACTGAAGTTGAAAATCGAAGCATTATTTCGACTACTTATCGTATACGTAGACACAAATAAAATAAAGAAAATTCTTTAAATTTTGAACTGCAAAATCATTTTTATATATATTAAATTTGATATATTAGTCCTTGACGGCGTGACATAGACCTATAAACTAATGGACAGCGCTTTGAGACAGAAGTCAGGGGTACGATATAGACTATAGAGTGAGCTAGAAAAGAAACAAAGTTGAAAGTAGTAAAGTGTAATATACTACTAGACCTATAGACTATAAACTAACTTAGTTAATGACTAATGTATACCTACTGTTGTAGTTGTCAACACTGATATTATTATTATTATTATTATGTACACACACGCGCGCACCGTCAACCGTTATGCATCTCAGCACTCTTTTTGTATCTTTGTATCTTTGTATCTTTGTATTCATTTGTAAGTTATAAAACATATTAATAAAAACTACATAAAACATGGCGCTGTGGCTAGAACTTGTTTGTCTATTGCTATAATTTGTAAATACACTACAAACTCAAAATGGATTCAAAAATACCAAAAGAAATGAACTTCAGCGGCAATATTGAAGCAAATTGGAAAAGCTGGAAACAACGACTGTCATTATACCTACTAGCAAGTAATAAAAACACGTGTTCGGACGAAACAAAAACGGCGATATTACTCACGTTACTTGGAGAAGAAGGCATCAATATTTATAATACATTTACTGAAAAACAAATCTATGACGAGAAGAAAGTCCCAATATTTCAAAAAGTAATTGCGGCATTCGATGAGTACTGCCTAGGAAAAAAAAATATTGTATTTGAAAGATTTAATTTTCTTAAATACAAACGCCAACACGGACAATCACTAGAAAACTTCATCACACAATTAAAATTATTAGCAGCATCGTGTGAATATGGGCAACTCACAGACTCTATCATAAGAGATCAAATTATTATTAATACTTCAGATGTAGTACTCCAAGAACAGTTAATCAATAAGTCTGATTTATCATTAGAAAAAACTATAGAAATCCTTAAACAATCGGAAAATGTCAAACATCAAATTGAAATAATAAACAAAGGGGAAAAAGAAGAGTCAGAATATCCCCATGTCGATGCAATAAAAAGAAAAAACAAATATAATACAAATAAAAATAAAGTTACACAAGCAAACTTCCAGTGCAGCAGATGCGGCACACAACATCCAGCAAGAAGCTGTCCGGCCTTTGGGAAACAGTGCAAGAAGTGTGCTAAACCCAACCATTTCGCAAATGTATGCCGATCGAACAAAATGGTTCAAGAAATAGCAGATGAAGAATGTGCAGATGAAGAATGTGCAGCGATCAACAGCTTGTTTGGAGTCAGCGAAATCATTGTGCCCCAGACACATAGCATTCAACAACCATGGTTCGAGGAGATTAAGGTAGAAAATAACTATATTAGATTTAAGCTAGACACCGGTTCTCAAGTTAATTTAATACCTCTGAATGTATATAAAACACTTAATATAAATAAATCCTGGAATAGTACAACTATTAAACTTGAGGCTTATGGTGGATATAAATTCATGCCGTTAGGCTCAATAAGATTAAAGTGTGTAGTTAATAATATTATGGCATGGGTGACATTCTTAATAATAAATAATAGTACCATACCTATACTGAGTCTAGAGGCATGTGAGAAATTTAATCTAATCAAAAGACACGAAAAGTGTATCAGCATGATCACACAGTGCACTAGCCAAAAAGACAACTTTTTGATAGATAATAGTAGTATTTTTAAAGGGATGGGAACATTCCCGGGCGAACATACAATTAAAATAAACCCCAATAGTCAAGGATCTATCAAACCTGCGAGAAGATTACCTCAAACATTATATAAAGATGTACAGGTAGAACTTAATAAATTACTAAAGCATAAAATTATATCTAAAGTTGAGGAACCCAAAGAGTGGGCTAGCAACCTCGTGATAATAAGAAAACCAGATAAAAAATTGAGACTTTGCATAGATCCATCAGAACTTAATAAGTCATTAAAACGAGATAACTATTTGATTCCAACATTTGAAGAAATCCGCTCTAAACTAATAAATAAAAAAATATTCACAGTGTTAGACATTAAAAAGGGATTTTGGCATGTGAAACTTGATAGTAAATCATCAGACCTATGTACATTCAGTACACCGTTTGGCTATTTCAAATTCAACAGACTTCCTTTTGGAATTGCAACAGCCCCCGAAATATTTATAAAGTTAAATCAAAAATATTTTGGGGATATAGATGATGAAAACATCATAATTTACTTTGACGATATATTAATTGCCACTACAGACAAAACATCTCATGACAGAGTATTAAAAAAACTAGTAGATAGGGCTAAAGCGCTAAACATTAAATTTAACAAAGATAAATTACAATTCAAAAAAACAGAAATAAAATATGTTGGCCATATTTTCAATGAACAAGGAGTTTCTCCTGATCCAGACCAAATAAAAGCTATAGTGAGCCTTAAGGAACCTACATCGAGAGTAGAATTACAAAGATTAATAGGCATGTTCAACTACCTTAGAGAATTCATACCAAATATGTCCAAAATTATCAGTCCTCTCAGAGAGTTACTAAAAAAAGACACAATATGGGTATGGGAAAAGAGACATCACTTAGCTCTAAAAGAATTAAAGGAACTTGTAACAACATCACCAATACTAACACACTTTAATCCAGATAAAGAAATAACCATTCAATGTGATGCTTCAAAGGACGGGTTGGGATGTTGTCTTCTCCAGGACAAAAAACCCATAGCTTTTGCTTCACGTAGCATGTCAGAAACCGAAATATCGTATGCACAAATCGAGAAAGAATTTCTTAGCTTAATATTTGCATGTAGGAAATTTCATTACTATATCTTTGGTCGCACAATAAATGCACTAACTGATCATAAGCCTTTAGTGTCAATCATGCAAAAGGATGTAATAAAAATACCATCAAATCGCTTACAGAAAATGAGACTAAAACTATTAGAGTATGACATTAGATTAAAATACCTGCCAGGAAAAAAAATGCATATAGCAGATCTATTATCTAGAGACTACATGCAAGAGACCTTTACAGAGGAATTTGATACTGGGGCTACGGTGCATTGTATAAATAGATTTTACAACAATAATCTTCTAAATATTAAAACAGAATCTGAATTAGACCCAGTTCTTAATAAGATAATCGAGTACTATTACCAAGGTTGGCCAAATAGGAAACACATAGATAAATCAGTGCAGCTATACTATAACTTAAGAAACGAAATAATTATTGAAAATGGTATAATATATGTCGCAGATAAAATAGTGATTCCTACTAAGCTAAGGCCCCTCATACTTAAACTGCTACATGAAAGCCATTTAGGATTAAATAAAACAAAATTAAGAGCAAAACAAATTATTTATTGGCCGGGGATGTTTAATGAAATTGAACAATTTATAAATAATTGCAACACTTGCAATAAATTTCAAAATTCAAATAAAAAAAGCCCTCTAATTCCTCATGAAGTTCCAAATTACCCGTATGAAAAGGTAGGAGCAGATATTCTATCCTTTGAGGGTACAGACTATTTAGTTATTGTTGACTATTACTCAAAATGGTTTGATTTAATTAAATTAAAATACAAGACTGCTAGTGAAATAATTAAAAAAAGTAAACAAATATTTAGTACACATGGTATACCAAAAACCTTCATAGCTGACAATATGCCGTTTAACTCAAGTGAATTCATAACTTTTTCTAAAACTTGGAATTTCACAGTTGTTACATCTAGTCCCCATTACCCACAAAGCAATGGCCTAGCTGAAAGGACAGTACAAACTAGTAAAAAATTACTTAAAAAAGCCCTAGAAGAAGGATGTGATGTAGAGGCAATGCTTCTAGAATATAGATGCACCCCAATAATCAGTCTGCAAGCATCTCCAGCAGAACTATTATTCAGTAGGATTTTAAGAACTAAATTACCAATAGCTAACAAATTATTAGAACCCAGACTCCAACATAAAGTACAAACTAAACTAAAAGCATTCCAGCAAAAATACAAATCCAATTATGACAAAACAGCTACCAAAAAAGAAACACAATTTAAACCTAATACAAATATATTAATACAAAATAATAAAGTGTGGTTACCGGGGAAGGTCATAGCTAAGGCAAATGCACCCAGATCATACCTTGTTGAAAACAATAATGGTACAATTATCAGAAGAAATACTAAACACTTAAAAAATACTAAAATTAATGTTACAGGAAACAGTAAGGAGGGAAACATAGAGGGGAAATCAAAAGTGAAAAATAAGTCTAACAAAAGTGTCTTGGTGAAAGAACTATCAACCAGACCCATAAGAAAAAAAAAAGTACCTAACAGATTTAAAAATTTTGTAATATAATTTAGCATAAACCATTAAAACCAATGTAACCTATTATATACCTGTCAAACTGTACTATTATTATGATCATTATATTATGTGTTGTATTATTATTATTATTATCATCATATTCAAACTGTATTACTAATAATTTTGTATTATAACATTAAATACTATGTAATATTGTATTCAATTATATTTGTAAGAAAAAGAGAGATGTTGTAGTTGTCAACACTGATATTATTATTATTATTATTATGTACACACACGCGCGCACCGTCAACCGTTATGCATCTCAGCACTCTTTTTGTATCTTTGTATCTTTGTATCTTTGTATTCATTTGTAAGTTATAAAACATATTAATAAAAACTACATAAAACACCTACTACAGACTACAGTTCCTTATGCGGGCTCCTTCAATACTTTATGCTCTTTTTCTCTCTGTTATATTATGGTTTACGATCGCCTAGCATTGTTGGCAGGGCAGAGTAGAATGCGCTGTCCGTTTAATTAGAGTTTCGGATTTCGAATTTCGATCATAGACCTTAATCCTTATACTAGTTGACGGAGTATCGACTATCGACTGTGGATGCAAGGTTTTTTGATTATAATTTATAATCTAAAATCCTTGCCGTGGATGTAGTTCCGGCGTGGAGGTCAGATGGGATTGCGCTGTTCGGGTGTACCGAATTACATGTGCAGTGTGCCAGTCAGGGTTGCGCAATAATAAGATACTCAAAAAAAGTACCATGGTACATGCATTTCTATAAACTAACTTTATAAGATCTAGATACAAGATTACAAGATACATGATAGTATGATACATGTATCATAGATAAATCGATGGGTCAATGCATATGAACATAATATGATACTTTTGTATTTCCAAAATGATTTTATTAACTATTTAATTTTATAATTATTTCACTGACAATTGACCCAGACACAGTCACACGGACGACAAAACGAAAAAAAATTGTACAACAATACGAATAATACACTGTAATTGCTTAACTGTACTTTTGATTTAATTTATTACACCATGTGGAAAGACCAAGGGAGTGGGATATTTGATGAGAATTTGAGAACGAACATTTCAGTTTAGTGCTTATCTCTGTATGACTGTAGATTGTTTTTATAGATATTATTATAGATAGCTAGTGATTAAATTTAATGTTTTTAAAATTATTTTACAACTTTTATTTTTTAACATTGTTTTCATTATTGTTCAATTCGGCTCAATTGAGCCTGTTGCGCCTGTACATTTTTTGTAAAAATACAATCCACAACGAAATTTTATGCAATTCAATATTAATAATAGACACAAAAAAATTACCCCAATTGTAACATTTATTTGAGTTTTGAGTGTCCTACCAATCGAATTCAAATTTATTGGAACTATTATTCAGTACAAATGTTTACAATAATAGTAACTATTGTATCATTTGGGAAAACAAGATACATGATACTAGTGCATCATGATACATATTGATACTTGATACTTCAAAATTATGTATCACGATACAAGATACAATTGTATCTTTGATACTGCCAGTGTATGCTGTGTAACATCTAATTAAATTTAATTGTAATATTTTAAATTACATAAACTATGTAAACTATTAAACTTTATAAATTGTTTGTTCCTTAAATTACATTTTTTTATTTAGACAAACAATTTTGAACTACTATGGAATCTTTCAAAAGAGTGCTTTCTATACAGAGCCATGTTGTTAGTGGATATGTGGGTAATAAATGCGCTGTGTTTCCATTACAGGTAATTGTACAAATACAATTTACATTTAGAACATTAAAAATAACTATCTTACTTTATCACAGATAATGGGTTTTGAAGTGGATGCTATAAATTCTGTTCAATTATCAAACCATACTGGATATAAAACTTATTATGGCCAAATATTAAATGAAAGTAATTTATGTAAGTTGTTTATTTATTATAGGTACTTATAATTTTTTTTTTTATTTATAAAATACATAATATTATGACTTTTTAGCGGAATTAATAACTGGTCTTGTTGAAAACGAATTACATAGTTATTCACATCTATTAACTGGTTATACTAGATGTCCAATGTTCTTAAAGAAAGTTGCAGAAGTTTATAAAATATTGAAAAAGAAAAATCCAGGGTTGATATATGGTGTGTATTCTGTTTGACTGTTTATAAATATAATATTATCTATACTTCAATTTAGTGCATACATTTGGTAAAAATGATGGGCCGATACATACCAATCCACCCCTGATTATGGCTAGTAAATGTGATTTGTGAACATTTATTAATATTTATATTAAGACCATTGTTCATACACCAAAGTTGAAACTGATTCAAATCTTGTTGTGACTTAGTACAGTCAACTACTGTTAAAACTGGCATATATGGTTTAAGATCATCCACAAATAATACAAATTTGTTATAACAAAATAATTGCCCAATATCATTGATAAATAAATTAAATAATAGGGGGAATAAATTACAACCCTGTGGCAGTCCACACGATACGTTGACATATGACTAGTAAGAATTTCCTATTTTTACTGGTTGGGTGCTGTCAGATAAATATAATTTAACCCACGAAAGAATTGAGCCATTGACCCCCATTAACTCTAATTTATTAATTAAAATATTATTATTTACAGTGTCGGATACTTTTTTAATATCTGTGTTAATTGCATTGACTTGGATACCATTACTTACTGATTCAACTAAGTTCAAGTACTAAATTATTAAATTAGATAAGGTCAATTTAGAATTCCGGAATCCATGTTAATTTTTTGGTATGACATTTTTAAAAACACAAGAAAATTTAGGTTCAAGTAATATTTTGAATAGTTTTGGTACGGTACTTCAGCAGGATATGGGATGATAATTTCTAACATCAGATCGATTTCTGGATTTGTAAATAGGATAAACGAAACTAGATTTCCATAAATCGGGGAAGGCTCTGGACGATAAGGATAATTAATATGGATCTTTAAATTGTTTAGAGTCAATTTATTATGCATATAGTTATTTTCATAATTTCTAGCATGAAGACTAGAGATATCTCTAGTCTTCATGGTTTCTAGTTTTGGTTAAAACGGATTTGATTACAATTTATTGACTATATAGTTAAATAATAAATTAAAATATTTATTTATATTTTAAAGTTTGTGATCCTGTAATGGGTGATAATAAAAAAATGTATGTTCCAAAAGAAATATTAGATGTCTATAAGAATGAAATAATACATTTGACTGATATCCTTACACCGAATGAATATGAATTAGAGTGAGTAAAATTATAATATTACTATTACTTTTTTTTAAATTAAATTTAATATTTGTATGTTTCTTTTCTATTAGGTTATTAACTGGTATAACTATAACAACCACTAATGACATTTATAAGGCCATGAATATATTATATGCTCAGGGTTGTAAGACAGTTGTTGTGTCATCTTCCAACATATCATCGAATTCTGTTATGAAGTGTATTGGAAGAAATTTTTCTTGTAAGTATTAATAATAAACACAAATGGATATAATAAGTATATTTATATTATAAATATATTTTACATTCTTGGCTGAGCTAAAGTATAATTTTTTTTTCAAATATTTCTATAGATATACCTTTTTTGGAAAAACACATTTAATTAGATTTATCTAAGGAGTTCAAAATTTGCAAAATAGACATCTATAAATTTTAAATGTATAAGAGTTATAATAATACATTGTTATAACAGTATTTTTATTTTAAAGCAACATTTACAATTCAGTATTATAATGTTTAGTTTGATACTGTTATTGTTTGATGAAATTTCAATTTAGGATATTAAGTATTGAATGTGTATAAAAATGCTAAGCATAACATAACATATCTTGCATATTTTTCAAAATTCTTTTTTAAGTATTTAATTATGCACACTATCAACAAACTTTACAAAATACGTCATTATTAATTATAATTTTTATGTTGTTAAATTTATAATTTTCATTATGAACAAAAATTATATATTAATAATTTATATTTGTTATCTATAGGTACTCTGTTCACCGAGAGAATGTGGTTGTGCACAAACTAAAATGTGTTGTACTCCTCTCTAACCACCCAAATCCCAACATCTTGACACTAGTCGTATGCTTGAAGAAACAACATTCTCTCGGTGAATGAAATATAGGCATTTTGTTCATGCTACATTATGCATTATACATGATATTGCAACAATTCTAATATTTTAATATGTTAATATTTTATTAGACAAGGAATATGTAGAATTAGATATTCCGATCATTGACCAATCCTTTATTGGAACTGGAGATTTTTTTACTGCTTTGTTATTGATATGGATGAACTTAACTAATAATGACTTGAAAAATTCCATCGAAAAAACAGTTGCAACTATTCAAGCAGTATTAAAACGTACCATAAAATGTAATTATTTAATTAAAAAACAATTGAATAATGCAAATATACAATAATTGTATTTTAGATTAATTAAAACGTGAATTGTTGTTTTTTTGACGATAGATACAAATGAAAATGGTTCAAAGGATCCAATAAGCAATAAAGAATTAAAACTAATTCAGAGCTTGAGTGATATCCAAAACCCAGAAGTAACAATATTTGGTACTACAAATAAAGTTGGATAATTATTTTTGAATATATTTATTTATATATATAACTATAGCTTATAGACATATAGTCATTGTTAACTTTTAGAATATAATTTAAAGGACAACCTTCATAACCCTATAGTTATGTTTGAGTTAATAACTTATAATAAAACTACATATAGTTGATATTAGGTAATGTATGAGAATTTGAATTATTAAATTAAATCATGAGCTTAAAATAAAATGTACCTATAAATTATTGTGAAAATTACCAAATAGTATTTACTATTTTTTTATTATATAAATATATTGAAAATATAATATGTCTTCCATATTATACAACTGTGAATTCCAAAAGCTTCCATTAATAATAAATTGTATTTATTGTTTTTAATCCGTTAAATAGTTTTGTATTATAATTATATGTTACTTGATAGAGAAAATAAAACTGTTTTATTAATATACAGAATTATATTATACATATTGTATTAATGTTTTTTTATTTTATTAATACCTATTCATTTATTTTTAAAAAAAGTGGAACATAAATTGTATTTATTTTATATAGGTACATCTGGTATAGTAATAATTCAATTTTACTTATATTAATCATATTGAGAATAAGTTAAAATTAATAGTTATGCTGTTTCTACATAGGTAAAATATAAATTTTAAATGTCATAGAATGCGATATTTTTGTGTACCTTCTCAGAAAAGTCAGATCTTTAAACTGTAATGAAGATTATTTAATTAATCATATTAAATACAATAATAAATTCTTATATTTTCTATGATTGATTTTAAAATTAAGGTTTTTTTTTTCATTTATTTATTTTTTTGTCTCATCACCGTTTGGGGCAGTAAAACAGCTTTGATTTTCTTCAACAGTAGGTACCTATCTTGTTTGATGGAAAAGTGAATCTAGTTTGTGCATTCGGGAGGTAAAAACTCCAAATAGTTTTCAAAAGCGCTGGGAATAACAAATTATAAATTAAGGACAAACGAGAATTTTTACTCAACAAGATTTTGGTTTTTGATATAACTCTAAAAAATATAACCCTAGATACATGACATTTTCACTTAATGTTTATATTAGCATTATAAAAATATATTGACTTGTTTTGAGCAATTTATGGACATTTTCATATTCCAATTTTTTTAGTTTTTCTCCATTAAATATCAATACAACTTAATTCATTGAGTCAAAAAGCTTGAAAATATTATTAAAGGCTCCTATGATGTTTGAAATATATTTAAAAAATCCACATATTTCTTTTTATAAACATTAAAAGTTCAAATTTCAACAAAATGCGTAAAAATTACAAAAATTTGCAAATATTTTTAGTTAGAAATTCATAAAAATATTTCTTTATTTATCTAAGATTTGAAAATGTAATACAAGATTGAAGATTCTTCATAAGTTTGTCTACCTCAGTACTTGTGAGTTTTGGTCCTAACCTAACCTATATCGCTCGTGCAGTGGCGTATTTTGAAATTTTTTGTGGGGGGGGGGTCTAAATATTAGGTACCTACAAGTTTATAATATAAAAAAAACACATACGAGTTACGATGTAATAATTATATTATATTATATTTTTTTCTGGGGGGGGTCCAGACCGTAAATACGCCACTGCGCTCGTGTTAAATAATAGTTCTTTAGTGTCACCTATCAATGTGATTGGCCGTCGAAGTGCTAGTTGTGCGTTCGCATCAGTAACCTTAATATACTTGTCTATGTTAGTAACACCATAGAACAAGTAACACCGGATGTATATTGTATAAATGTAGTACAACAGGCGGTGTTCGGAGGTATATTTTCCTTTTAGCATTACCAGCGCTGTCTTAGCATGTGTCTTAGTGGATACTTAAAGAACTAGAACACATCATACAAATTTCTAGTTCCTTAAGTATCCACTGGGATGGCGCTAGTAATGCTAAAAAGAAACTATCCCCCCGAACTCTGCCTGTTGTAATATAATATACACAATAATTACACTAACTATAATATAATAATTAGCAAGGTATTAGGAAGTTTAAGCCAGCGGTATTTAACCGGTGGGTGGCGTAATCTATAAAAATGGGTAGTGACAGGTCTTTTTTGTTAAAAAAAATATAAGTTTATAATATAAAATTGTAAATTATGAATTCGAATAAGTTATGAATGCATTGAAGAAGTGGAAGAACCATATTTTACAGAAGATAATATATAATGACAGTTAAATTGTCTACTAACATAGAAAATCAATAAATTGAGCTTACTTGTAATCCCAAACTTAAACAAATGTTCATTGAAACTTTTTTGGAAATGTTTTGGAAATTATGTAATTATATAATTATATAAATTATATAATTGAAAATTATGCGCCACCGGCACACTTATGCACGGGAAATAAACACTGCAAAACTAGCAGCTTTTCAACAAGTCTTTTTTCTTTCATGTCCTACAAAGTCGTGAAAATATTGTTATAAAAGCAGTGGATCGTGAGTCAAAAAGGAGTCACTAATAGTGAAAACCATAGAAAAGATCATAGACAAAGAAAATACGAAAAATATTTTTATATTAAAAAATGTAAAATTCATTAGGTATGTCGTATTGTCGTATGTACTCATGTAGTATATTGTACCATAGAATTTACTATTTAGTTCGTTGGGCAACCGCGTAATTACTTCTTTATCTATGGGCAACCGTACTAAATCATGGTAGTGAGTAGATAACCTGATAACCACTGATTATTGAGCCACTAACCAGAACCGAGGTTGAGGGTTCTGAGTTCCTAATGTTCCAACTTCCAATCGTGGCTCGAGTAGTCGAATGCTCGACTCAAGCACAAATTCTGAAATTCACAAATCACAATGGTCAGTGAGAGCCAATGAATTGGTGTACGAAAAAATAATTTACGAAATCTGGAAACGATACAATGGCTACAAAACTGCAATATATTCATAAAATATCAAAATTTACTCTCGATCCGAATAATTATTAATTAATATTTTCGTTGAATATTGGTGATTGATAAATAATGACTGATCAACACTCGATACAACAACAGTACAAGTAGTACAACCAACATAACTCGTAAGTATAGTACATAATACATTAAATACTTAAAATAATGTACTAACGCCGATAATAAGACATCGGTGTAGTACCGTAGTTACACAATGATACCTATGATTACTTTTAAGTTTTAATATTCGTTGGCTAATGAAGTCAAGATCCAAGTAAAATCGTTGTTATTAATTGAAATAATATTTTTGAAATCACCAATATTTGTGTTCATAAGTGTTATTATTTTTAAGGCACCAAAACGATTTCTACAGATGTCCAATTTCCAAAAGTAGGTAATATTTTACACCCAAAATGTTCATTACAGCATTAAATATTAATAGCTATGTAGTATGTACTTAATGCATATTGTATTAGTTATATACAATATTGAATATATAGTAGTTACTAATAAACTAAAGTACATGATACTAATCAGCAACAAGTTAAATATTATGTATACCTATTGGTATAAACAATAATTTCTTATCTTTGTGTTAGGTAATGTGTATGTTAAAATATTCTAAACCGTACAATGATTAGTTTGTCTGATACATGTTTTATATATATTCAGAGATAGTATAATTATATTAAAAACAAATAATATATTGGTTATATTTGTGTTGTTATTTAATTGGTATTATTGTTAAATTGTATAACTGAACATTCATAATATTGATTATCTGTTAAAATATTATAATTTATAGGTACCTACTATTTACTGTTTGGATTAATAATATAATGTAATGTAAACCTATAATCGGTTTATATCCAAGTCAAGGTCCAAATATTAAAATTTGGCGTTTCCATATACCTAGCTTTTGCCTTTTTTATTAAATTTCAAAATTTGATTTAATTTTATTGTTAATCCCAACATTAACTGTCATGCAATGTATTGAGACATAGATGAAAAATATATTTTTATGTAGGTATGTATATTCTTCAATCTGTAACTGCGAATCACCGATATAAGCGCAAAACTAAAATAGTGAACACCAAAACATCCAAGGTTAGGTAAATTATAGGTAAAACACATGATATACTCTGTTCCATCTAAGAGTGAACCAATCGGCTGCCCAAAACCCTTTTTTCAGCTCATTCCTACCACAATCCAGACATGAGAGGTCTTAACACCGGTGCCCGACAGCTAGGGATGACTATCACCTAATCACCGATTGCATAGACATTGCATGGGGTGTCAGGCACTGTTCGGCTGCTCAGTCTGCGTGCAGTTCAATCTTAGATGGAACAGAGTATAGCAAATGTTCAAAATAAATAACATTTCTTATTACACAATAAACTAGTTTCCCTTTATGATGCCAATTTAAATATTTATTTCTTTAATATATTATAAAATATTAATAAATAAATAAAATACAATAGGTTTTTAACATAATGCAATTGTGTTTGTAAAGTGTTGCATAATTTTGTCAGAACTTTTTCAAAATACAAAAATGTAATTAAAATTATTTATGATAAGCAATTTGTAAAATAACCATTAGGAGTATCTGGAATTAAAATATTAAAATTTATGAGAAAAAAAATAACACTATAAATATCTATTATGGGTTTAACTTGTTGACACTATTCATTTTTCAATGTTCTGTACAATATATGTTTCTTGATCCGTAATTTATAAATTAACTCTTCTTAGAATACACATACTTATTAATAAAATATATTTTAGCTGTTTTAAAGTGTCAATATTCTGTGCTAAGCTGTTTGGACATTTCCTATTTTCATGTTGTGGTATCCTGCCCTGCTAAGTAGAAGTGCCGTAAAAACCAATATGTTAGTTTTGAGAAGAATTCAGTTTTGTATTTTTCATTTTATTATATCTTTATTATTTGTTAGTCCATTTGACTTGGCATAATACATTTCCACCTTTATAGTTTTTTGACGATGAATGCAATGGAATAATGATTTAAGTGATTCAAAAGTATTATTAACTTATTATACAAATAAAAGTTACTTTTATGTTATTACTTATAAATATTATTGTACAATTGATAAACCTATCAGATGCCGTACCTAACTCATTTTAAAATTATTTTCTAGTTACAGCACTTGCTTAGCATATTTTGTATAATATATGTACTTTTGTTTTAGTTGAAGCAATCTTTAACAAATGGAACAGGAAAATGAAGCCGATCATCTCGGCGAACACACAACAAAAAAAAAAATGTTATTTTCTTCCAACAATAATCACAATCAGGTAACTTCAAAATCAATTAATGATCAGGAAATGCTAATGACAAACATTGATTTAAAAATTGATCCTTCTAAATCTTATAATAATAATGTTAATTCAAGATCAAACTATACATCTAACTCTGTTATTGATAATATCCAGCAGGGAAGAGAACATTTTACTGTTCAATTGAGTCCATCTAAAGTTTTCAACTGTCATAATTCTTCAGAAATTGATTTTGATACAGATTCTGATCAAAAATCTAAGACAAAAAATATAACCAGATCCAATTTAGAGAATAATAATCAGGAGCTTTTAAAAAATAAAAGTCTAATTCAATTTATGGAATATAAAAAAACTAGCTCTGACATTCTAAAACCAAATGAACGTGCTACTAAATTATGTAAAAAATATATTAGTTACAAATTTTCTTGTTTAATTTGTGACACTAAAATAAAATTGTTAAAAGATTGGGAGTCACATGCTATAAGTACACTTCACTTAGAAAAATGTATGATCAAAAATGATTATGTATCATACGATTGTGGTGGTTGTAAAACATTTTTATTTGGAAATAAGGGACACATTTTAAAACATTGCAAAGATATTCATAATGATATATCCGAACTACCATATGTTTTTAGATGTATGAAAGAAGTGTTTTATCAATGTATATTTATAAGTCCAACCAATTGGAAATCTTGGTCATTTTGTGGTCCTTGTAAAAATTATTCATTTTTAAAAAAAAAATGTTATTCTATTAACCACATTAATAAAAAAACAATGAATTTCAAATGCAATTCATGTTTAATAGATTTTATATGTAGCCAAGAAGTGTATAATAAACATTTAATGTCATGCGAACATATCATGTTGGAATATTTTAAATCCAAAAAAGTTGGTGAAAATCTGGAAACAAAAACTATATGCAATTTAAAACTGCCTCCAATAGTTTTAAATAAATTTACTATTGATAATGTAAAAGCTACTTGTAATGATTGTAAGTTTCAAATGGTGTCCAATGAAAAAGCAATAACTGTTCATCTAACTGAATGTATTAATAAATCTGATGTAGGTAGAAAAAATACATCAAAAATCAGTACTTACTTTTGTACAATCTGTAATAAAATCACAACTGATTTTAATCAATGGAAGTTACATTCAGTATTATCAAGTCATTTAATTAAATGTTATGATATTAAGGATTTAGTTTCATATACATGCGAACTTTGTGATCTGCATTGTTATGGTGTTGTAAATCATGTAACAGAACATCAAAAAATTCATCCAAACAATTCTGAAAAAAATCTTTCCCTGTTTATGGCTTTTAACTTCCATCGTATTAACAAAGATTTAAAAACCAAAGACTTTTATTACTGCGAAGAATGTGAAACATATGCTGAAGTCAATTCAAATTCAGATCATTGGAATAAAAGTCATAAGACTAAATTGAAACGTATAATCTGTCAACCTTGCCGTACAGAATTCTTTTGTATTGAAGGTAATTTGTTGTTCAATAAACATACTATATCAAGTGAACATATTATTTTAAAATCTTTGGCCGCTAAAAGTCCACTTCCAGAACTTAATTTACAATCATTGATCAATGAAAATCAAAAACCTTGTGTTTCAACAATTGTTTTAAATAAATATAAATTAAATATTAAACCATATTTACAGTTCTTTCAAAATGTCAATGATGAAAATAAAACTATTTGTAAATCATGTGATAATCTAATTGATTTAAATCACAGTGATCTCATTAGTCACTTGTTAGTTTGTAATCATGGATTGGTTAAAAGTATCCCTCAATCAAATTTAAATTATTTTCAATGTCTAGAGTGTGCATTTTGTTCCAACAATAAAGATACATGGAAAAAACATGCAATTACACATGCAAAATTAGACACTAATATTTGTTATTCTTATATTTGTAAAAGTTGTAACTCTTTAGTGTATGGAGAAATTAATGATATTGAATTACATTTAATTACTGAACATAAGACAACTATTATAAACATGCCATTAGAGTCAGTGTTAATGGCAAAACAATTGATGAGGAGAAATAATAATGCTTGCAAATCATCTGATATTATGTGCTTTTGTGAGCCATGTAATAAAATATTTAAGTCAAGTGAAAATAATAACCACTTTAATACAGACAGTCATGCATCAACGGCATCAGATATTGTAGAATTATTTTACTGCAATGACTGTAAAGTTGAATTCTATTCTTCAATTACAGTTTATGAATGTCACAAGTTAACTGCAGAACATATAATTATGAGCTCAAACAGTATAAAAACTGGAATTAAGGCTCTTAAACCTATGAAACTTGATACCCATTTACTTACCTATGTTACTGATCAACGTTTGTATGATTCAACTCTAAACATTGCATTTTTCTGTTTTGTTTGTGATTATTTGTGTTCAAAGTTAGATGTATGGAAAAACCATATTAATAGTAAAAAGCATATCAAGTCTTCTAAATGTCTTTGTATGGACCACCGTTGTAAAATTTGTAAAACACTTATGTTTGGACATCGACATCAAATGTTTGAACATTATAGCAACCGTTTTCATTCAATGTTAAGACAATTTAAATCAATGACTTCTACAGAGGTTTTAAAACAAAAATGTGAAACAAAACACACATGCAATATGGGAACAACTTCTGAAAGTAATCAAACTGCAGTATTTAATGAGAATATATCAGGAGAATCTAGTACTAATGATAATGCAGTTAATTTATTAACAAATATGATGAATAGTTTATCGAATCAATCAAATATTCATAAAGAAAGTAGTTTATTAGAAGTATCTACTACCAATAATGCCAATGAAACACATTCTATAATATTAGATGAATTTCCTCCCGAATCAAATTCTCACCATAATGGTAGTGTAGTAGATGAATCTATTACAAAAATTAACGAAACTCAATTAATGGGAAAAATTATAGATGAACCAAATATTTGTCAAGATAGAATAATAGAAGAATCTACTAGCAGTTTTAGTGAAAAACTCTCGGAGAAAAAAATGGTGGATAAATCAAAAACTCAAAATTATAGTGAATTTTATGGATTGAAAATAAATATGTTAAAGGAAATGATTAATCAAAACCAAGAGATAAACCCACAAACTTCTTATTATTGTGCGTCTTGTGATTTTATTACTGCAGGAGAAAAAAATTTTGACGAACATAATTTAACAGAGCATTTTAATGAAGTGCAACATAAGGTATTTTGTGAAATTTGTAATTTATATCAATTTGGGCTGTCTGATTTAGATGAACACGATAACACTATTGAACATAAAAATATGTTAGATTTAAAAAAAAATATGAATTCAAAAAATTTGAAAAAAAAAACTAATAAAATAAAAAAAAATTATGAAAAAAACTTGACTGCTGTCAATCCGTTAGATGTTACTCAGACTTCAAAAACGGACAAACAACAAACAAATGGTAGTAAAACTGATGAAAAAGAAGCAAGTAATCGTAAAATCATGATTGAAATTAAAGGTAATACAGTTGTTTTTATAATTTGTAAATTATATTAAAACATTTAAATGTTTTAGGCGTAAAACCACAATATAAGAAAAATAGCTGGGTTGAAATTAAGAAAATATTTTCTTTTTATGGACTTTTTGGAATTATTACTAAACACAGCTCTGTTATAATCATATATCGTAAATTGTAAGTATATATTCTATCAAATAATACAACAACTGTTACCCCTAATTATTATTACCTATATTAAGATTTTATATACTATTAATGTGTACTGCAGTTTAAGTAAAAGTTGGAAAAAAATACAAAAAATGCTAAAACTAAAAAAAATTTTTTGAACCCTATACATTTTAATAGACCATAATGTCATTGTGTTATTATTATTTTTATAAATATATAGGCTAAGTCTTCCTTGCATAACACCTTTTTTTAAAACTTATTTTTATTCATACTTATATAGTTTTTGACTCTGAGACGTTGGTGCAATCAAAACAGGGAGAGGGGGTTTGGGTTGTGCTCATTTTCAATTATGGAGTTTTGTCTAAAACAATTACCCCAATTTTTTTGGATTCCATCCTTTTTAATTTTTAAATGGTTGAAACTGATGTAATACTTTTAACTTTTCAAAATTTAAATTAAAAAAAATAACTCAATGTCTAGCATTCAGAAATATTGTCACAATTCAATTTTATAATAGGTATTTTTACTCTAGAACCTAAATTGAGCGAGGTCTACTGAGACTGCATAAACACATTTTGTCTATGTTTTACGTGTGTAAGACGGAGACGCAGGTGTGATGTCCTCTTAACAAAAAAGTATCCCGTAGAGTAGAAAAAATCCATAGATTATTTTAATTTCAAATTTACTAAGAATATTGTTTTTATTAATGTTTTAAACAAAATCAATATGTTTTATTTTATGTTTTAAACATAACAACCCTGACTAATAATAGTAATATATCAGCTTATACATCGGGTGATTTTGGCGTATAACGCTTATTATTTATAAGTTATTTATTATTACATATAAAGAACTTAAGTAATTACTTTTTCCAAAATACTCATTAATTATAAGTTATAAGTATTAAATTAGTAATCATTTACTTTTTTAATTATTTATTGATTATCGTTCATACTTCATTACATTTACATGCAACACAATGTGTCTTACATAATCTGAAAATATTATTTAAATACTACGCCTCTAATACATCAACAACAAACTCTGATACTATCATAGATATATAATAGTGTACTTTTTATTTTGTAATTTCGTCCAAATTTGTACTTAAAATGACTATAAAAATACTGTCCTTCTGTATTTTTTAGATTTTTTGGTAACAGAATTAACTACTTAAGTGGAATTTTGTTTTAAATTTTCAATCCTTAGATATACAAGTTGAACATTTTATACATTTTTAACTACAAAATAATTATTCAATTTTAAATTTGATAAATTTTGTCAAAATTCGATCTTTAAATGCTTATAAAAAAAAATTGTGCCTATGTATTTTTAATATTTTTCAACTGATATTGTAACAATATATGAGGAGGTTTGTATTCAATTTTTACACTTTTTGGCCCAACAACTTTATTGATATTTATAGAAAAAAACTGAAAATGTTTGTAAACAGCTCAAAAAGAGTCTAAATATTTTCAAAACTGTATGGTGTATAGGAAATGCTAATATAAACATTCAGTGAAATTTTCATGTACCTACAGGTATTTGTTTTTGAATTACAACAAATTAAGGAAATCGGTACATGAGAAATCGAGTGAATATGCAATGTTGTAAAAATTTAATTTCTAACGCTCATAAAAATTTAATTTGACTTTCTTATAGACATTTTTTATTTTTTGATAAAAGCAGATAATCTTATAAAGAATCTTGTATTCCCTTTATAAAATCTTAGATTAGATAGAAAATGCAAATATAAACAGCCAGTGAAAATTTCATGTGTTTTAGAGTTTCACCAAAAACCAAAATCGATTTTGTGTAAAAATTCCCGTTTTTCCTTAATTTTTATGTTGTTCTTTCCGGCGCTCGTGAAAACTCTTGGGAATTTTAAAAATTTGACCTCCCGAATGCACCAACTAGATTCACTTTCCCATCGAAAAAGATACTATCCAAGAAAATTGAAGCAGTTTTACTGCCTCAAACCGTGATGACAGACACAAAAATAAGTAAAAAAATTTTTAAAAAAAAAACACATCATTGTAAAATCAATACATTCATCGTTAATCTCAGAATCTAAAAAACATATTTTGTGTCTGATACATTAATATTAAACTAAAGAAGTAAGAACCAAAAAAAATTAACCATTAAAAAATAAAATGTAAATTACTATTTTAGTATTCTAAAGTACTTATTTTATCTCATTCTATAAATGACAAACTGTACTCCATAGTATTAAAAATTTAAAAAAGCAAAAATATCTTGATAAGCAATTGAGTCCAATGTTTTTAAAATATATTCTTAAGTTCTCTAAACTAAAATTAGAATAATATTAATATAGGTAATTAAAAAAAATACTATATATTTTTTATATTATTGTAGACTTAAATCTAAAATGTACGTTTTGTAATGTTTCACAGAGCAGCCATGAACAAAATGTTAAATGATAAAGAAATGTTGGAAAGAAAATATGAATTTACTATTAATGTTTTAGTTGAAGGTAAGTTTTCATTGTAAAAATTAATGTTCTATTTTTGGCAAATATTGTATATTATTATGTAATTATAGGTATTAAAATATTGTTTTTAAATTTGTAATAGTATCAAAAATATTTAAAAAAAAACAATTAAAACTTCAAAGAGACACTCTTATTTCACTGATTCGTTCAATTTTTAATAATTCCCTAGCAGAAAGACTCTTTAACTTAGTCTGGATTCGTCGCCGAATTATACTAATACTAAAATCAAGGGACTCAACTGATGTCACTAATTATCGCCTCATATCCGGACTACCATTCTTAGGGAAAATGTTTGAATCGATTGTACTCAATCGTATACTGCGTCCGTCTCGGTTGACTAACATGGACTATTTCCTAACTAATCGACATCTACTAGTGTCCCTTTTGTCATCTGTGATTATGAATTTTTGTTAAAGCAGCAAGTTGACATAATTTATACTGACTTCTTGAAAGATTTCAAATCGATTGAAACACCTTTCTTGGGGGGGGGGGGGTTAACTAGACCAGTACCCTATTTATCTAATTCTGATAACTGTTACCTATATCATTCTTATATGTTTACTTTAATACTTATCTTGATAAAATTCTATTATCTTTGTTAAAGCCGATTGGCGTAAATAAGTTAATTAATTTAATTTTCTTCTTAAACACAAATTTTTACTTAGAAATTGTGTATGAAAAACAATTTAATGTTTTTTTTTGTTTATTGGGTTAATTAGATTTACTCAGAGCTTTTAGTTAAAGATTTTTTTTTTAGAAATAGACTAGTATATTAAATATTATTTATTACTTATTATATTTTGAAGGGGCGGTAACTACTATTTAGTCATTGAAATCGTCTACATAATAGTAGTTTGATATTATAAATGTATCATTGCTTATGAATATTTTTTTTGTAATCATGTCTATAAAAATATATCTTATTCTACTTTTAATTAATTATAGATGACAAATTACCCGAATTACATAAAACAACTGTATTTGAGTTTGGAAATAAGGAAGTACTGCTAAAATCTATTGACACACAGATCATGGAAATTAAACAAGAAATTTCTAATCCTGATATAATTGATAGATTATTTTTATTAGTAAACTCAATACATAGTTGTGCTGGCCAACATTTCAAAGGAAGTAAAACATACGCTTTTGGATCACGTATGTCAGGTCTTGCACTTAAGGATAGTGATGTGGATTTATACTTTGATATTGGTAATATTTATATTTATACTTAAAACTAAAAGTATATGAATAGTCAAAATAATAATAATTTAATAATTAGCAATAAAAATAGTATTATTGTGTATTCTATTTAGAGAAAATATCATTAAATTATACTTGGAGGGATTCAACTTAACTTATTGTTGTACTAGAATTATTATAATTTTTAAAATAATCTGACTGATGCTGTTTGTATTTTATTATATAATACACTTTACTATAGGACTAATGCCCATTGATAAATAAATAAAGTTATTAAATAATAATTATTACAAATCTAATTTGTTTGAGATTTTTAAATAGTCTAATTTTTAATTTTTAATTAAATTCTATAGCTGGCACTTTTGGAGGAGAATTAAGTAATGATCTATATGCCCAAGAGGATCTAGTACGTTATTTTGGAAAAGTATTTCGGTCTCAAAATAATGAATATAAACATATCCAACAAATAACTGGAGCACGTGTGCCTATAGTCAAATTTTTACACGTCCCTTCTGGCCTATATTGTGATTTATCTTTCAAAAGTGGCCTTAGTACACATAACACAAAATTAGTCAGGTAAATTTTATATAATTTATTATTAATTCATTAATTAACTAATATTCTCAAATTTTATTTGACAATTCAGATTATACTTAGCATTGGATGAACGTGTTCACTGGATTGTTTGTGCAGTTGTCAAACGTTGGGCATTACAAAATGATATGAAAAATCAAAGTATGTTTACCAGTTATGCTTTAGCATGGTTGGTCCTCTTTTACTTGATGACTATTGATGTTGTACCTCCATTAATATTACTCAGAGAACATGCAAATTATTCAAAAGATACATCTAGATCAGATGTTATGTTTATAGAAGGTACATTATTTTTTTTAATCAGTATTATAAATTATTATATTATGTTAACCTGTATTAAAATTGTAACTAAACATTATTGATTATACTTAAACAACTGGTTATATTTTGCATTTTATATAATATTATATTACAAGTAGTAAATTGACATTTTTTTTTCTGTTAGATTGGGACTGTACTTTCTGCACTCTAGAAAAAGCAAAACAAATATGGAAAGTACCCGAGATTCCTTGTTGGGATTTATTATTTGGATTTTTTAAATTTTATTCAGACTCTACCTTACTTCAGCAATTTGTTCTTTGTCCAGCTATTGGAAGTGCTATATCTAAAAACAAATTTTATGATGTTCCAAGGGCAACACCAGATGTATTAGGTTTTAGCAAAAAAAAAAATGGTAAACCTATTGACTGGTGTTTACGATTAAGAGATAACTTTCATGGTGATGGTCTTGCAGTACAAGATCCTTTTGATCTTTTTCACAATATAACAAAAGTCATTATACCTAGAAAGTTACAAACCTTCTCTTATTTATGCAATAAGACTATGGAAGTCATGAAAAATGGAGTTCAACCTTATTATGCATAAATTGTGTAGAACAATTTTAGTTTATTAAGTAAATGTATATTAATGAAAATGACAACAATAAAGAAGTTAAATAAATCAAATTGTCAATTACTAGTTTATTTTTTTTCTATGTATTTTGGGTTCTTTGAGTACATATTATTTCATTAATTTAAACTTAACTATTATAAGAAGTGATTTATTATTCTATTATACGTTTTTCATTGTTTACAGACAATTTTAATTTTCCGTATGACAAAAGCTCTTAATTTATAAATAAAATAAAAAATTGTATTTTATCGGTAGACTGAAGTTGTTTATTTTTTTTTTGTATTATTTATAACTTCAGTCATAAATATTCTTAAGCTATATGTTTAGTATCATTATTTATATACATTTAAACAAAAAAAATTAATAATTTACTTCTATTATACAATTATTCTGATCCATTCTATTTTATTTTATAGAAATTCATATTTTTTTTCTTTTTTAAGTGAATTATTTAATAATTATTTTCATTTGTATTGAATTTTTATGTTTATTACGTATCATTTTAATTTTAAGGCATTTGGTTGTAATGACATTATTTATATGTAATATTGATTATATTATTAAAAATGTATTATATTTTATTATTGTAGGTCAATGAAAGTAAACAAATTGCGTTTAACTTTTTGGGGGTTATTTTCTGAAAAATAATATAAATTGAACAAAATCAAAGGTATTTTAACCTATTTGTTATAGTATACTAATCTAAAAGTTTACATCTAAGATTTTGTAAAAAAAAATTATAGATGGGAGGTGGGGGGCAAGAACACAAGCTAAATTAGATAAGAAGAATAACGCAATTTGTAGTTACTAATGATAAAGAGTCTTAATATTGTAGACTTCTTGAAAAGACCTTTTTTATTATATTTATTCTTATTGTATTTCAGAATAATTACATACTAGTATAATACTATATGTAATAATTATTATATTTCAACATAATATATTAATTTTATCTGGTGTGATTATGTTTTAATTTTATTTCTTATTAGTTAATACTTAATACAAATCTAAATTAAATTCAGCTGTGGAAAATCGAAACATTCAAAAGGTTTCTATTCAACGGTGTAAAACAAAAAGAGCATTTAAAATATTATTTTTTTTAAACCTGCAATTTTTTTACGATTTTACAGTTTTCAAAATGCTAAAATAAATATTTGAATGAGGGAGAAAAATATAATAAAATTGTTTAGAAAAAAAATATTAAATTGATATTAAGCGAGGTAGTACAATTGTCCATCTATATGAGTGTTAACCAAAGCTTTTTAATTTTTAATACATCTAATTACTCCATAGTCCATACACAAAAAGATCTCACAATTTTTCTAGTCCATGAAGAACCTAGCTAAGATGTTCTCCAGAAAGATGATTTGAAACATTATTTCTAAAAAATTGTCATCAGAGTAAAGGAATATTGTTAATACATTTATTGCTCATGTTCAAAAAAGTAATTTGATAATATAATAAGTAATAACTAAAATGTATATTTATTCATTATCTTCTTGATTAAATGTAACATGTTGAGCCAATCTTTTTTCTGCCTTTTTAATTAGCTTTTCACGACCTCGTGGTTTTTTAGTTTCTTTTTGCTTGGTACATTTAATTTCTCTATCTCTTGAAATTTTATCCCAGTAAAGCTTTTCTTCTTCGCCTATCACAACATTAATATTAGTTTTTAAAGATTAAATTATTAAATTCATATTCACCTGTTAATAATCTGGTTTGCGGCCATCGGTTTTCCTCTGCTATTTTTATGGCAGTTTCTTGACAATCGCAACGTACATAAGCTTCAGAATTGTGGACAACATCAACAAACTTAACCCTAGGATCAATTTTTGCTTCAGCCTTGAAGGAAAATAAATAAAACAAAATTATAAATATTAAATGATTAAGTTTTTAAATATTCATTATTATAGCATTAGGAACTTTTAATACCATAAAATCAATCAATAGGATTCAAAGGAAATCACTGTAAATCTACATACTATCAATTATGAATATTGATCTACTAACATAGAAATGTCGAGTTTTAGTATTTTATAGCTTGTTTTAAATCTTAATAGTAATCCGGCAAACACAGATGTAGTAGTTTAAGGATACTGCGAAGTAGTTATACGTTAATCAGACTAAAGAGACCACAAAATGCTATAAAAACTATGCATGGTGGAATAAAGAACAAAGAGAAGCTATTAAAAATTATAAAACAAAACCAGCTCAGTCAATACAAGGTGATTTTTTTATCATTGAACACTCATTATTTCAAAAAGTATTAATGTTTAAGAAAATATTTTTTTACATAGTTTCAAGTTGTTAGAAAACAATATTTTTATTAAAAAATTATATTTTTAAATATTTTTTATCCTTTTAATTTTTTTACTTTTTTGAATGACAACATGTAATTTTAATTTGATATTCAAAAACAGAATATTTTTCTGAGTATTTCGATACATAAAAATTGAATTTAGGGCAATTAGTTTATGAGTTATAAGTATTTAAAGTTTAGATGAGCGAAGTAGAGTGGTAAATGTTTGTCCACTACTCCACTCATCTAAACTTTAAATACTTATAACTCATAAACTAATTGCCCTAAATTCAATTTTTATGTATTAAAATAATCAGAAAAATATTCTGTTTTTGAATATCAAATTAAAATTACATGTTGTCATTCAAAAAAGTAAAAAAATTAAAAGGATAAAAAATATTTAAAAATATAATTTTTTAATAAAAATATTGTTTTCTAACAACTTGAAACTATGTAAAAAAAATATTTTCTTAAACATTAATACTTTTTGAAATAATGAGTATTCATTGATACAAATATCACCCTGTATATATTAAAAAAAATAATAGAGCCATAGCTCGTTTTACTAAAAAAGATCAAAATTAACTCATAGCAAAAGTTAATATCCATTAAACAAAATAAATATAAAATAAAATATTAGAAATTCAGTAATAAAATTGTATAAGTTTCAGTTTCAATTTAATGAATTGTTTTTAAAGTTGCTAATATGAAGATAAAATATAGCATAATATAATTATTTCATTAGAAATAAATAAAAATAAACTTAGGACTCAACATAGGATTAGGAAGATATTGTAAAATTTCTTATATGATAGGTACATAATAAAATATGAAAATAAATAAATAAAAATATCATACTTTAAATATTTTATCAGATTCAATTGGATTTGCAAATGAAATTTTCAATATTACACCAGGTTCATACTTTACACGGATATCATTATTTTTTGGTAATTCTACATCTACACTTTCAACAATTGTATTGGTCTGATTACTTTTTCCCGAATTTTCATGAAAATGTGTGTTGAAATTGTCATTATATTTAGGACGGCGCAACTGAGCTTTTAATAAAGACATTTTTTGTCGCTGCATATTTAAAAATTGATTTCTTAGTTTTCTCCACTCTGTTCTAAAACACATAACAATAAATATAAGCATAAAATATGTTTGAAAATATAAAATATATTACTTTGACATTATTCTTAACACAGGTGATGTTAAATTTGTATCTAATTTAACTTTTTTCCCTTTATTACGTTTTCTTTTCTTTTTTATATTTGTATCAGTATTGTTTGGTTCAATATTTATTTCTTTTTTATCATCATCACTAGTAATTATTTCTTCTGGTTTTGAAATACTAGTATCATGATTTTTAATTAAAGTTTTTTGGTTATTTTCACTGTCACTAATTTCAAAAGAAGAATTTTTTTGTTCACCTTCCAAGTCACTTTTCTTAGTTTTGTCTTTCTTTTTCTTCTTTTTATTATTTTTAATTCCAGAACAGCTTACTTGCGGTGTCTCTGTCTTCAGTTTCTTTTCTTTTACATCTTCTATGCTAACAGAATGTTTTCTTTTTTTCAACAAATTAACATTGTCAGCACTTTCTTCGGTATCCTTTTTATCTTCATCTTCTTTAAAAGTAATTATACTTTGAAGTTCTTCTGGAAGGATTTTTGATTCTTCATGTAATTTTTTATATTCCTAACAATATATATTTTTATTTTATTACAATTATTTCTAAATTCATATATATACATGGTCAAGGCAATTACAGTGAAGGAATTTTTAATAAAATAGGTACATAACAATATTATTTACCACTGTGATTTAAATTTTAAACATTTCAGAACCATTTAGAAATATTCCAAATTATCGTTTAGGGCATCGGAGCCGGTGCATTTTTAGTACAAAAACATGTCTTACAGGAAAAACTTGCACACTTTGTAGAATAGTCGGATTTTGTTAATTTTTTTTTTTTTTTTAAGAAGAGGACATTTGACAGATCAGATTAAAGCTCAATTTTCAAAATTATAATTATAAAACTAAAAATATGCATTTGAATAATGCACAATACTTGTTCTTTTTCAAATGTATTTTTCTACCTCTATTTAAAGTAAAATGAAAATTCAGTCATTGATCCAACCTGAAAAATGTTCTCCTTTTAAATAAAAAAAAATTAACAAAATCAAACTACTCTACAGGGCGTGAGAGTTTTGCATATATAAGTCATTTTCGTTGATATAATACACCGTATCAACCCTCCCCTAAATAGGTTTTGAGCTGTAGATTAGTGAAAAAGTATTATAATTAAGGTAGTAACTAAAATATAAAATATAATTTTCAAAGAATTTCGGAAATTCGGAAAAACCGGCCTCAACCACACTTTAACTAAAAAAAATAATTTCAAGCAGTAACCTGTCTTGTATTGACTTTGTTAAAGAGGCTATTTAAGCGCATTTATTACAGTATTGCACTATTGCCTAATCTACTAATTATAGACGCATGGAGGCGTTGAATGTGTTAACCTATACCTATGTACATACATAAATATTATATTTTAAGTTAAATTTTACTTCGAGAACTTTGATTGCAGATTCTTCGTTGTCAAATTCAATAAATGCAAATCTTTTTATTGTTCCACTTTTAAATTTAGGCAATGAAATATAAGCAACACTTCCATATTTTTCAAACATTGATTTAATCCAATCATGATCAGCTTTAGGAGGCAATTGTTCCTACAACATATTAATATTCTGTTTATATTTATTAATCTAGATAATATACAATGAGAAATATGAAATAAGAATTTAGTAAAAGAAAATATAAAACAATTATTTTTTTATGTTTGGATCAATCTACATAATACAATTTTATATATTATTCAACCGTTAAATTTAAATTATTTTGCAATATAAAAATCAATACTTGGATTTTTATGATCTAATGTTATGGCTATCAAAATAATCATTAACTATATTAATGTGAAAGTATTTTTTGTTATTTAACACGTTCGCCGAGTAAAACGCCAATTGGCGTCGTCATACATAGTTCACATATGCTGAATGACGCCAATTGGCGTCATGTACCTTGTTATTTAATGAACTATAATTTGGTCAGCGTTAAGATTAAACTTTTGGTTTTTTGTCAGCTTCTTCTATAATTATTGTTTCATAATCAAGTGCACACCGTACCCTGCTATTTAAATTTTTAAATTTTTAGGAAATTTTTTTTTAAAACTAGAATTTGATCAGCGTCACAAGTATACAAAAATATGATACGCAGTGAACGTGTTAAGAGAATATATAAAGTTCTTTAGAAAATTTACAATTACAAAAATATATATTTTATGAATACAACTAACCACATATACTGTACAACGTTCAACATCCTCTGGTTTTTTTTCTTCAATTGGCTTAATTCTATAAATGTTGGATTTACAGTCACTAACAGATAGAACACTAGAGCTTTCTATAGCTTTAATTATATCTTCTGGATTTTTGGTTAAACTCTTAATTTTATTGCAGTTCAAAAATGTTTCAATACTAATACCTAAAAAAATGTAATTATCTATATAAAAATGTATACAAATAATTAAGTAATTAATTGTAAATAAAACTAAATCAAAATTGAACAGAGGAAAAAAACATTTAATACCATATTTAATGTTCCAGTAAAAATAAGATAATGTGTTCCTATGCACTTCATGCATATCAAATTAATAAGATAAATAGTAGGTATTTAATGATTTTTAGTTGAGTATTTTGTAGTATAATATTGATATTCATTACTGTCAAAATTACTAGCTTATTCGATAGTTTTAAAGAACATGATTTGAGTCTTTTGCATTCATACACTCAAAACTATTTCATAACAATACAACTTACATTGACTGGTTTGCATAAGATTTCCAAAATATCTATCCTTTCTTAAATTAGCATCACTTAGATAAAATTCCATTTGCTTTTTCAAATCAGTGTAAAGTTGTTTTTTTCGTTTTCTAACTCGATTTAATGAAGATTTTAGAATATTTTCTTCAACGCTTTCAATACTTATATCGCTAGATGGTTCCATTCTAAAAATTAAAAAACAAAAAACATTATGAATACATCTTATATACAATCAAGTATTGTTATTTGTTGATAGTTAGAATTTGGAAGTATTAATTTCACAATTTCTTCCTCAATTAATTTTAAAACAAAAAATGTTGTCCACTAACAGAGCACAATAAAAATGTATTAAAAAAATGATAATCTACTTCGAAAATAGAATGTCAAATAAATTAATAGATCTAAATAATGTAAAATGTATAATAAACATAGTAATAAGTAAAAAGCAATAAGTATAATTCAAAATTAGTATACTATAATGATTAAACATGATTTTCACTTTAAATGGAAATTGGGTACCTACTCGTTCCAACTTCGAGATCAAGTAACAACAGCACGGACTACAAAGCGATTGATGAGAAACCGTTAACGAATAACGATATCGTCGATTTCGGTTAAAACACTTTCACACGAGTGCAGCCGCCAGCCACCACTTGGCATTTCAACAATCAGCAGACAGTGAATGACGATCGACCATTGACTAATGACAATTATTGTCGTTTAAAACTTTAAACCGGCAGCTTGGGTATCAAACATTCAAACTATCAGGAATCAACACTATCATGGCAGGTTTAGCGAGATAATAGATATTATTTTTGATTTTTGGAGTAATACATATTTTTGTGGACAATTTAATTTGGTATTCACAATTTTATCATAAATATTAAATAATAAATAATAGGAAACACTGCGGATAAGTACATACTACAGACTACTACACTATATAACATATAAAAATCTGTGGTACATATGTGCTTACATTTTGATTTTGATAATGTTTGGTGGTTATCCCATACTTATTGTATATATATATAAATATATTATAATATTAGTATTATAGACTATAGAGCACTGACTGTGCAGGAGTTAGGAGTTTGGGGCTCAGGGAGTACCAACGTCAAAGGTATAGTCCAACTGTCCAGCACCATAAACTAAGATAATCTTAGTTCATGCCAGCACTCTAACTCTAACCCACTAGCACTCTAACTCACTATCACCACAGAACAATAGCTTATACCATGACAAAATAGCATGATGCAAAATAGATAGGTATGTCAGCAACTTTTTGATACGCATCGTGATCGCCTGGTCACCCCGTCTATTAGTTGGTTCGCCGCTCTATGTTGGCCGGGTAATTTAAGGGCCAATGAAATGAGGCGAACTACGACTATGGTTGGGAAGGGTGGGATGCGCTAACCGGAATACGTTTTGTATTGTTGCTGACATACCTATCTATTTTGTCATGGCTTATACCATGTATATAGCTGTACTCATAAATCACTAATCACCACGAACTAAGATATACATATATATACCTATATATATATATAGGTATATCTTAGTTCGTGCTAATCACTATACAGTATATACAGAGTGATCCATTTAACGTAAGACACTTTATCGATTAACCATCTACTTTTCGTATAAAAAGTGTCTTACGTTAAATGGATCACGCTGTATATTGAGTAGTGAGAATACATTACAGTACTATATAGTATATAATATTTTAAATATTTTATATATTCTGTGCCTAGACCACTAAAAATTAAAATACTAGATAGTAGACTCAGAACACGGACTAAGGGCCGATTTCACCAACACAGTTAATTAAAGCATTAAACTTTAATGTTGATAAATTCGGCCCTAAGATAGAGTCCGTGATTCAGAATAACTGTGGAAGACTCTAGACAGCAAGGATAAAGAACTAAGAAGTGAAACCCTGATCTGTGATGATACTTAATGAAAAATAATAGAGTACTAGGCTGTCTAAAACTCTAAACTTATAGTATTCTTTAATCTTGTCTATGACTCTAAAGTCAATTGACAATAATTAGTAGTCACAAGTCAGTACTTCAGTAGATACTAGATAGTCAATAAGTTTTGTCTTCGGTCTGAAGACCGGGCGCCGACTGAACGGACAAGTTAAAGGTAACCAAATCGCGGGATACAAAATTCCTTTTCCCATCACTGGCATTACTAGCTTGATAAAAATCAGGGTTTACTTTACAGAAATTGATAACAGCCCAGCTAAAAATTTTTTTTAGAATGAAAATGTTCTTGACGAAATTTTGTTTGCCAAATTTGTCTAGTTTTGGAAGTTTAACGTAACATTTATGGTGCTCGTTAAGTGTCCGTTAACTTGTCAAAACTTATCCATGAAAGATCAACCGAAATGACTCGCAACGTTTTTCTTTGGATGCTGTAAACCTACACCATTTTCAGTGACCTATTAAAGATAATATATAAACGAAAATCAAAGGTGATGTAACATGTGTAGTTAGTTGGGTGATTGCATAAGTACGTTTTTGCCTCGTGTATATAAACAAATCCTTTCTGTTGTAGGGTTCAAATATGAGAGTAGTTGCATTAATCAGCGGTGGTAAGGATAGCTGTTATAACATGATGCAGTGTATAGCAGCGGGCCATGACATTGTTGCATTGGCCAACCTAAAACCACAAAGTAAAGGTAAGTTATATTATTTATATCTTAAATCATGTAAAATATCTGTGAACAATATTTATTTATGTATTAAAATTATATTTTTTAATTTAAATGTTGTGCAACAATGATAGATGAGTTGGATAGCTACATGTATCAAAGTGTTGGTCACCAAGCAGTAGAATTATATGCAGAAGCAATGGGACTCCCATTGTTCAGGCAACGAACAAACGGGGTTGCATTGCAACAAGAGAAAATTTACACTCATACTCCCGAAGATGAAGTTGAAGATTTATTTGATCTCCTTGCTAATATTAAAGTATTTGTCTATTATACAAGTATTAAGTAATATTAAAATATGTTGTATTTTTTCTTAGTAAAAAGTTTTTAAATTTAGACCCAAATTGAATTTGATGGTGTAGCTGTGGGTGCAATACTTTCTGATTATCAGCGTTTGCGTGTTGAAGATGTGTAGGTTGACTGATAAATACAATATAATTTCAAGGAATCCTAATAAATTGTAAAGAATATTTCATAATTTCTAGGTGTTCGCGATTAGGTATTTGCTCACTGTCATATTTGTGGCGTCGTGATCAAAAAGAACTGCTACAGGAAATGATTGATTGCAATATTGAAGCAATTGTTATTAAAGTAGCAGCACTTGGATTAGACCCTACAAAACATTTGGGATTGCGAATTGATAAGCTAATGCCACATTTAGTTAAAATGGTAATGAGGATATTATTAATTTCTATATATTTGTAATTAGATATAATATATATGTGTGTGTATACATATATATATATATATATATATTCACTATTGCATGACTAACATGCTACTCCAATAATGGAGGTTCTAGAAATGCATTTCATAAGTCAATATTTTTTAGGGAATGTTAGTCTCTGTATGCCTGATTAGTGGCAATTTTTTAATTTCTTTACAATAAGTTTGAACACATTATGCAAGTTATACTATCATTTATTTCTAGATTAGGTATAGCAATAGGAGTTTAGTAGTTTGATTATTAATAATTTATTAAGGATTACTTTTTTATTTTTTAATTTTGGGAAAATGAAGTTAAATAAATTATGAAATACTTTATATTTGGTGGTAATTTTTTTCTGTTGCCATATTAAGGTGGGATATAAGTATAGGTGTCTGTGATATTAATTTTTATTGAGTGTAATACGTATCTGACACAGTGGAGATGCGGTGGGGTTCTTCCCGTTTTCTCCTTGACTTTTGTGTTGGTTTCCAGAATGAAAAATATGGCTTAAATATATGTGGCGAAGGTGGAGAATACGAAACGTTCACTCTAGACTGCCCTTTGTTCACCAAATCGGTGATCATGTAAGTATACAAATAAATCCACACACTTGATCACAAACATATTAAAATACAACATTTTTTACCATGTATATTCCAGTGATCAATGTTGTAATAGTGGACATCATTCTAGTTTTAGAAAACAACATAACATATTGATATTAGTTCTTACTTAAGAATTATTTTTACTTCATCATCTATAATTAGAAAAAAAATAGGTGGATTTTATATTACCTAGTTGAAAGCAGTTAAATAAATTGTTTGTTACTTTTTATTATTATTTAATATATTTATTTATTATTTTTTGATAGAAATATCTCATAATATCTATATAAATATTTAATACAGTATTATTTACACATAATACAATACGTTTATATATTAGTTCATTATTCTAACATTATCAATATTAATAATACACTTTATTATGTTTAAGTAATTATAATTAAAAGATATATCATATATATAATATATTATAGTTGCTTATTATTTTAAAATGTTTAATATACTTAAATATTATTACACAAATATGTTCCACACAAAATAAATAACCTAAAATATGTTATTTTATGAAATTGAATGAGATAATATATATATTTATTTAATCATAAATATTTTAAACATATTATGTAATAAACAGTACAAATGTTTCATTAGAAATATTACTTTGATATTTTTCAGTGAAGAGTTTGAAACTGTGATGCATACCAATGACACTATTGCTCCTGTGGGATACATCAATTTTAAAAAATTTTGTTTATTAAAAAAACCGGTTCGTAAAATTTTAAATTTTAAATTGGCATTTTGATAAGAACATCAATAAAATTTAAAATAATTAACTAAATAATTTTTTTGTTCTTTAAGAATGTTGATGAGAATCAAAGTTTCCGTGAACGTATGGCTTGTTATAGAGTACGCAGCCCTTTAGCACACTTGTTGGACTTAGATGATTTAGAAATTGACCTTGGTACTGTAACTGATGGTGACAATTTTGATGATGATGCTTCAGAAAATAATAGTATCATTATCGACCAGACTGATGGTCAATTATGTTTTGGGGAACTTGTAGAGACAGATTCTGTGTCTTGTATTGGTTATCCAAATGGATGGACTTGGATTAATTCATTAACTGGTTATTGGGTTGGTGATAAATCTCCAGTTATAGTTGCTCTTGAGAGATTAAGAGGTAATTGTATTTATAATTTAATAATGTATGTAGTATTTTATATTACTAATATTACTTGATAACATAAATACAAATTAAATCATGATGTCAAGCTAACATTATTTTAACTCGGAAAATTGATTTCAATTGAAATTCATAATTATTTTTATTTATCTGTTTCAATAAGTTGAAGTTAGGTACTTAAATACACAAAATATTTTTATTGACTAAATAATATTTTTAATTTGCATATTTTTTTTATTTATATTTATAGATTTATTGCAGGAAAGAAATTTAGAGTTAACTGACGTTGTTGCTGTTACTTTATATGTTCGTGACATGACTGAGTTTCTTAATATGAATGCACAATATGCTTCAATCATGTGTAGAATTAGTCCTCCTGTAAGAGTTTGTGTTGAAATACCTCTTTCAGAGTTCACACCTATTCTTATGGATGTTGTTGCTTATAAACCACCAGCCAAGTCATCTTCTAATTCAAACCTTCCATCAATGTCCAAACATACAATGCATGTACAAAGTATATCTCATTGGGCTCCTGCTAATATTGGACCATATAGTCAAGCTATTCGAGTAAGTTAATAATTTATTATGAACATATGTTATTATAACATGCATTTGTTTATTATATAATTTATTTATTATTTCTATTGTTCATAAATTAACTAGTCTTTATTTGCTAAGATGTATACAAGTTTATCATGTACATTAAACTATAATTAACACTTGTTGTTTTTAATAATAATATGAAATATTGTCTCTTATTATAAACGGAATGATTTTAATTGCTTCTTCATCATATTGCTCTTATGAAAATACATATGTGATATACTGCTGATGTATCTGATTTTCTTTGAATTGAATTATAATATCTGCATTATGGTATTATGTTTACTGTATGCTGGATGTTTCTCTAATTTATTTTGTATGATTGTGTATTATTAATTATTATATTATATTGCTACTTTGTACTGATCATATTTTTAATTTTAGGTTGGTGATATTATTTATGTTGCTGGGCAGATTGCTCTAGTGCCAGGTACATTGAGTATTGTTGAGGGCGGAATCAGGCAACAATGTCGACTATCATTACGACATGTTAGCAGAATTATTAAAGCAGTTGATCCTAATACACAACTTAGAGATGTTGTTCAAGTAAATTTACATTCATATATATTTTTAGTTTTGGTGTGTTCAACTTAAATATTTATTTTTAGGGCATATGTTATGTAACTCACACCAAATATATTCATGCTGCTAGAACGGAATGGGAGAAAAGGACAAATAATGCTATTGTAGATTATATCGTAGTATCACGGCTACCAAAAAATGCTATTGTAGAATGGCATTTATGGGCACATCGACATAATGCTAGATTTGAATGTAATTATATAATATATTAAAAAAAGTTGATATTTTTGAAAAAACTTGTATGTTTCATTTTTATATTTTTTTAGATGAAGAAACAGGTTGTTGTGTTGATAATTATAGAGTGTCAATACGTCGCCGTTGGAATTATGAAAACAATGTGGCTGCAATTGTTACATATATTTCATCTGGTACTCATTAAACTGGAAAGAAGAATACAACCAAATATTACAAATCATTATTTTATTTCAGGATCATGCACTTCATTATCAGCTATAACTGATTCATTAGAGACATCTACTGAATCTATATCTGCCATTGGTCTAGAGGAGGCTTTCCGTTATTCTTTAAAACGACTGCTGCGTGGAGAACCAACTTCGACACCCACAGACGCTATTTGTTCTTTACGAATATTTTACAAAGTATCGCAAGATCAAAAACCTATATGTCGACAACTTATCAATGCTACATTGAATAATTTAAGAGCTGAATATCGAATAGTTGCTACTGTCATACCTGTATTACATTTTGAATCATCCCAATACCTTTGTATCAATCTGTGCGTTGAGGCATAATACCTGAGATTCATTACACATACAATAATGGACATAATCGCAACTAGAGTAAGGACAAAGACATGCCAGCTGTTCCATTAATATATAATAATATTCAGCTTCATATAAATATTTTATAAACCTATGTATAATAATGGCTGAAAATGTATTAGATTCAATTCTTAAAATTTACAGTCAATAATATTCTAGGTAAAATATTTCATTTATATAATTTGTTTAAATATCTCTGTTAAACAGTCCGTCCGGTTCAACTAAAAAAATTTTCTTAGGTGTGCTTTACCCAAAATAATTTATTTGCTCAAATACAATTTGTTTAAAACATTATTTATTTATAATTACTTATTTGGTTTGCTATTCATAAATTAGTAGTACTTAAATTTTTTTTATTAAAAATTGTTGTGCTAAAATAGCCTAATTTTATTGATATACACATGATTTTTGATTCTCCCCTCATTAAAAAAATTCTCTGTTGATCTTGCAAAATTGTTATAAAAATTATACATTTAAAACTAAATTTGCCATTAAAGTTCTTTATTACATAAGTATAGCATTATTTATTTTATTATTATTACTGTAATTATTTATACAATACTTGCATTTTAAAAAAATATATATCTCCATTAATATCAGTAATAATTAAAGACTGATTAAGATACTGCTATTAAAAAAAAATAATTGTATTTTAAAAACAAACTTAGAGGATGTCAGAACACTATTTGTTTTCTCTCTGGCCCATGCATAACATAGCAAATGTTTATTTAGCAGAACCTCCTTTGTATTATTAGATTTAATATTATAGTGAATAATTATTCATATCAATAATCAATTATGATTAAGTCTTATACAAATTATTCAAATTTGAAAAAAAAAACACTATCTGTATTGTACGTTGACTTTTAAAATATTACAAATTAAATATTGTTAAAAATCCATCCTACAAACACAGATAATGTTCCTAACTTTAAGTTTGATAATAGGTCAATTCACTAAACATAACAACACAAGGTTGGTTTTGCTTAGTACTGGACATCAAACCTAGATCAGTCTGTGTCCAGACTATTCATCTGGATTGATTCGTAATTGAAAAAAATGTAACAATCTGTTTAATCCACATTAAAATGACCGATACAAATTATGATATTTATCTAGATTATTTGTATGTATTTTAAAATAACAATTGGGTAAACTAGTGAATATATGATATATACTCATATTTAATATAAATTATTGTAACTATTTATAAATATAATAACTAATAATAGAGAGTTAGATAGAGATAATCGAGGAAGAGGATAATAAAAAAATATATATAATATATAATAATATAATAATAATAAAATAACGAATAATATTATGTAAATAAAATTATGTTATGTGCTAAATTGTATTTTTAAATTGATATACTGAAAGGTGAAAGACATTCATTTCTATTAACAATTTATTCATTTAATTAGAAATTTGGCTTACAAATATGATTATCATTCTGGATTATATATAGTTAATCAATTAAAAAAAGTATTAAAATACATTTTTGTATTAATATTAATATTAGTTAATGGTAATAAATATTGCTGTATTTATTACTTTATACCTTGCTGGAGTAGTTAAAGGTGCGTTTACACTTTACACGGTTCACTCTTGGTGATCATTTTGGATGAATCATCCACAGTGAATAAATAAGAACAATGTAAAATGATCATCCTCATTGAATGATGAACAAAGTTGGGTCATGTCCAACTTTCCTTCACTCTGGATGATTACAGTGTTCTTATTCATTCACTGTGGATGATTCATCCAAAATGATCACCAAGAGTGAACCGTGTAAACGCCCCTTAATACTTAATGCATAAACTAATACTTACCTACCTGTTAATTTCTAAAAAATCTATGATGATTGAAAATAGCCAATGAATTCTATGAATTTCAGTCCATTTCACAGTGTGGTTGATTATTGGACAAATGACAATAGAATTTATAAAAAATATTTTACAAATTTGAATCTGTTTTTAACGTTCAACGTAATAAGGAAAATTAAAATAATGTTTATAATTTAATAATTTAAAGGGGAAATAATAAACAAATAAATTGAATCTTATTAATTCATCTTTGTCAATCGGATTGGCCACTCAAATGTATGGATTCAATCTGTGATTTGACTTAAGTATTTCAATCCGTAGAATGGATTAGGCAAGCCAAATATGTCCAGCACTGGATACAAATTTGATATGTTGCATAGGTCAGAGAGAGGAAACAAATAGTGCGCTTACATTCTCGTTAATTTAAAGGCAACATTCCCACTACTGGTATACTTGGCCTAGATTTGGTACTGATGAATGGTCCCATGGTGGTCCATCCAGACGATACCCTTGTATAGGTCATCATTTTTATATATTGATCATTGGTACCTTCCAGATGAGGTTCGTGAAAACACTTATTATACTTATGATTTGCCCATTTTATTTATTGGTGTTCTTGGCAAGGGAGACCAGCTTTAAATTTTATTCCTGTACTTATAATACAGGCACAATGAATCAATAAAATACAAATAACTAATTAATAATTTAGGTACTTAATATCTTCTCTAGTGCATCTGTGCTATGTTGCGATGACAAATTTGTTTGGTTAACAAGCCAGGATTAAGATAATTTTGGGTGTGGGGCCAAACAATTTTAAGGGTCCATATACATAATCAAAATATCGGTTGTCCACAAATAAATATATTTAGTTATCTTACACTCGCCGATGAGTTTACTCGTATGAGTTGTATGCGTTCGTAAGTTCAATTTCCTGTTTTAGTGTTTTCGTGTGAGGTATAGGTACCATACACATTATTTATATTTATTTAAACAATGCCGAAAAAAAAAACAAACAGTTGCGGGCCGTTTGAAAAATCTTGTGGTGGAATTTGAATTTTTTTAAATTTATGGATTAATTCTTATTATTTTAAAATTTTCTCATGATTTTTTTACATAATGCATATTTTCACAATTTTTAGTGCATGAATGCATGCTTATTTATGAATTTTTTAGTACATGAAGTAACGAGCCCTGGACATGACTATATTATTATCTAGACTCATATCTAGGAACTAGGATATTAATATTATTATTAATATTTAGTTGTTAACACAAAATATAATAATATGGGAATTATCCCACTCGACGATCGAGGATTCCCAGTAACAACCAGATCTACACTTTCCCAGGTCATTAGTTGGTTGAAAACTTGAAACATCGATTGCTTATTATTTGTCATAACTCATAATATTTAGTTATCACCGTGATTCGTCTTTACTCTTTCGTAATTTCGTACTTGTGTCCCTACTGTGTGCCTGTGTAGTATTACTATTATACAGTCGGTGTCTTTTGTAATATTGACTATTTTGTCTATTTTACATTTTCACAATTACTAATCTATGTCTATAAAAATAAAATTACTAGCTATTTTGATGCAAGTTGCTCTACTTCTAAACTAAAAAATTAAGTAAGATCACTAATATCGTTACAGAAAATCAAATTGTGGACTTAGCGGTAATATTTTTATTATGGCTGTTCATTGTAGGCTTATAAATATAACATGCAACGAAGTACTGGACAGATATGTAAAAAAAAAAAGAAAAACAAGATTTACTAATATAATAAAAATATTGTTAATACTATAATATATACAAAAAGTCTGTATGGACGTATGGTAGACGGACATTTCCAACCAGGAAATTTTCCCACAACGGTTTTTGGTCTAGGACATTTTCCCCCCATTTTTTTTCTAAAGTTTATTATTGACTAATAATATTGAATTTAATAATACAATATTATTTATTATTTAATATGAAATTATTTTTTTTTTAAATATAAATATTAAATATTATTCACATTTTTTTTTTATAAATATAATAGATTATAAATCTCTTTGTTCGATACACTGGACTACCTACTTAAAAAAAAAACTTAAAAATAAAATATTATTATTAAATACTAAACTTATATTAGCTTAAATGATTATTGATTTTTCCGCGTAAGGTGATAATCTGATACGGGACTTTCAAATTAAGTTTTTTAAAGATTTGATAAAGTTTATGAATAAATTATTAAAAAATATAGTTCTTAAATGGGGAATGTAGAATATTTCCTTCTATTAATTAAAACAAAATAATCTAATTCTCGGGATAAAATTACATTAGTACCGGGTGCCTTGGTTATAAAACGTTTTAATACATATATAGGATGTATTGAAAATAATATTTTTATTTATTATTCATATTGCTTAGGTATAATATTAAAATATACAGTTGAATTCGAAAAGTAGCAGAAAAGTAAAAAAATATTCATAATTAATGTAAAAGTAAATCTTGTATATAATATTTAACAACAGATCATATTTATTGTTGGTAAATATATTTTTACATTTGTATGCACATGGATTGTTGATGATAACTGGTTAATTGACAAAATAATACTTAATTTTAAGTCTGGAGTAAAATATATTTTAGGTAGGTGCCCACTGAATTAGGAGGCCAGTAAAGAGTAAACTTTTTCATAAACATAAAATATAAAATAAAATAACTAATAATAAAATTAGGAATTATTGCCTATAGGAATTTCAATACAAATTATAAAATGTAAAAAAAAAAAAAACAGGTTTAAAATATCTAATAGTATCATTATATTTTTGTTTATAAATCAAAATCAAGTAATAGGATTCATATTTAGAGTAGGAAAATGTTATTTAACACTACCGAGGAAATGGAAGTGATAGAGAGGTTTGCCATGCAACAATATAATAACAATTAAACAATATAATGATGAATATAACTAGAGGACAAATAATAAAATATAATCATATTTAGCTTATAGCCTTTCAAATATTAACTTTATATCACAAAATTCAATGTTTAATAATTATTTTTAATACAACATAAATGTAAGTATATACTCTGTGCATCGGTCTAAAAAATCAACTTTATATTAATCCACATAACGAGGCGAAAAATTATTTGTGCGTTCACATTTGCATTCTGGATTATTTATCTTTTTTTTTAATCAAAACAATTGGTGTTCTCGACCTAATTGCGCCTGCGCCAACTAAAGAAGTTGGACCAATTTGTACTGTTTGATTGGACGGTAGTGCCCGCAATAGCAAAATCTGAGTCTTGATAGCTGATTTAATGACTAAATAATTGTTGTATGTTGAACATGCCAGATTTTCAGCAATTTCCGTCAACGATTCATATTCATTTGGTACCATGCAGTTGCATGAAGATTCAAAGAAACTAAACAATGGAAACCAAATTCGCGTCCTACAAGAATCAACGTTGTTGTTCAATGCTTGATTGTTGGCTAGTGTGTGGTAGTATAGGAATAGTCTTGACGTAATGTAAAAGGCAATAAATACATCAATGGAGTAATGTTCATGACCCGAAAGTATAAAAAATATACCGAACATATTTAAGAGCCAACTGAACGTATGTAACAAATATATGTCACGTGGAGTGTCTGCAAAAATTTAATATATTTACTATAAGTAAGCACAATTATACATTTTAATCGTTTAGGTCAAATATAAGTATTTACATTCAGTGATGAAAAGTTTAACATGGTTAATGCCACTGTATGTCCACTGAACATATAGTCGCCACAAGTGCGAACCCCTTGTATAGACATGCCAGCCCCTCTCCATATCACATACGCTTGTTGCATCTTGTATACCATTTCTCCCAGAAAATTTCCATCTATAACACGGAATAAAATTAATACAACATATTGAAATAAACTTATATTAAAAAAAAAGAGAGATAGATGGAGTAAAGGATGCAGTGTTTATTTTAAAGGAGTTTTAAATTTTCTTAAAGAAATATAAATGGAAATTAAATTGATAGTACGTACAATAGTTGTACTACTGTCGTCAATCCTCCATATTCTACATACCATCCAAATACGCTGGCTTCTTTCGGGGCGTGCATTCTAAATGCGTGCCCGGCACGGACAAGGAAGTTATGATCATTGTGATGCACCGTAACAGGAAGACTGTGCCAGATAGAGCGAAAAACCGCCTCAGTAATATAAAACGGTGCTTATGGAAGACCAGTACGGCGAGCCACACGAAACACAACACGGTGCCCGTCAGTTCACACATGTGAAACGCCCAAGGGATGTAAGGCACGTTGTCCAAGAATATGTCCGGCAAAGGAGGATATTTCTTCATGTCAGGCACGCGATCATGGACGATCACCATGACGAACGCCGTGATCCAAGTGACTGTGAACAGGTAGCCCATCGCAATGAGAGCTTTCCATATCTGGAGGAAGAAACAAATAAAATAAAAATTATGATTTATGAGAATGATAAAGTAAAACCATACATTTTTGTGCATAGCAACTTATATACATTTCAACAGTTCGGCTATAAGTATATTTGATGATATTATTGTAAATAAAGTAATTCATGTATAAACTATTTTTATGGAACCTTGGTTTTTTATGAATCCTTAGCTATAAAAGTTGAGTATTTTATAATTTTTTAACAACAAAATAATTATTAAATTTTAAATTTGATAAATTTTGTCAAAAATCGAACTTTAAATGCTTATATAAAAAAATTGTGCATATGTTTTTTTAATATTTTTCAACCGCTATTGTAACAATATATCAGGAGCCTTGTATTAAATTTTTAAGCTTTTTGGCCCAACTAATAAAACTTTGATATTGATAGAAAAAAAAATGAAAAGAATTGAAATTAGAAATTGTCCGTGAACAGCTGAAAACGAGTCAAAATATGTTGTACATTTTATCCAGTACAGGAATGGATAAAATAAACATTCAGTGAAATATTCATGTATCTACAGTTATTCGTTTTTGAACTACAACAAAATAAGAAAATCGTTACATGAGAAATCGCGTGAATATCCAATGTTGTAATAATATAAACTTCAAACGCTCATAAAAATTTAATTTGACCTTATTGAAGACTTTTTTTTTTTGATAAAGGTAGGCAAACTTATGAGGAACTTTGCATCACATTTTCAAATCTTAGATTTAAAAATAAAAATTTCTATGAATTTCTAACTCCAAATAATTTGCAAATTTTCGTGATTTTTAAGTATTTTGTCGAGATTTAAACTTTAAATCTTATAAAAAAAAAAAAAAAAATTGTGACTGGATTTTTAATATATTATTTCAAATATCATTGTAACAATATTATAATAGGAGCCTTGAATTAAATAGTCAAGCTTTTTTACCCAACAAATACAACTTTATTGACATTCATAAAATAAAAATAAGTAACTAAAAAATTTGGAAACTAAAAATGTCCGTAAATAGTTTAAAACAAATCACAATATTTTAAACATTTTATCATGTATAGAAAATGGGAATATAAACAACCAGTGAAAATGACATGTACCTATGTTCATTTGTTTTAGAGTTACGCCAAAAACCAAAATAGATTTTGCGTAAAAATTGTCGTTTTTAATATATTATATTAAGCTATTAAGAATTATACCAGCTATTAAGTAGTGATTTGAGAGGGCCATCGTTAATGTCAGTATGTCACAAGCATACAACACAAAAACGATTCTGCGCTGAACGGCTGAACGTATATATTTAAGTAATATATGGTGCAGGTACTAAAATATATAGGTAGTTTACATGTTATTCGTTTGTAAGACGTAGAAAAAACTCACGTGTGTCCTTTAAGAGTTTATAAAAAAATAAATACTACCATGCGATTAATAATGACAATACAACAATCTGTAAAGGTATAACAATAATACTATCATATAATATCATATATCGTCGATGGGCGAGTAATATGTCGTATCGTCCATAAAAAAAAAAAACAAAAAATCGCTCATCGACGATATCTATGTTTATTGTTTACTTATTTTCATTACTACTTTATTATAGTGGCTTGTAGATATATGGCTATATTAAATTTTATAGTTTTATATATATTTTTTTAAATATAATTAATAAAACAAATACAAGCATAATAAAATGGAAATTTAACATATATTGTATGATGTGTTATATTATTATAAAACAGAGGAAAAAAATATATGTTTAAGCCTACATATAACAACCGGTTAAATTCCGAAGTTTACTGCAGACGAGTTCAAAAAACTTCAACGTTCTAAATAGTTATAATAATAACGGTATCTTCTTAGTCATACTAGCCTTAATTCTAATTTCAACTAAAATAAACCACGTGACTCATTTTTTGATGGTTTTTACCAACTGTTATGTAAAGTATCCACTAGAATTTTTGATCCTCCTATTAACTTGATTGAATTTTTCATCAGAAACCACCCTCGTAGTTGGTGATTGGCAAGCCCGAATTAAGGATCGATTAGACCCCGGGACACTATACACTTGGTGGGCCCCCTTTGAACGTAAACTTCAAAATAATTGTATCATTACATATTAACGACTTTATATTATTGTATAATTTTTGTAACCTTGTAACCTACTGTACAGCAGAGCAACATCCACTTGCTTACTTTTTAAACACGCAGTTGTACCAATAATAAAATCGACTATATTTTTTGATGGATTCTGGTAAAACTTTTTTCTGAACATTTTGACGGTAAAATGATCAATTTTGGTTCGCTAGGTTATTAACGGTGCTCTAAAGTTTAGTATAATATGCATTAATACTTTTAACTGAAATACCTTATTTACAAGAATTTTTTCTTATAACTATAAATACCTTTTTATATACTTAAATAGTTAAATTAGTAATTAAAAATGCTAAAAAGAAAACAAACAAAATAGTTCATTATTTATAGTAATTTTTCGTGATATAAAATTGAGAACAATTTTGTTATATAATTTTTAATAATAATTCACCTACTATACCTAACTACTTAAATAAATTTTTATAAATTCTGAGCGGAGAGAGGATGCTAGTGGTTTTAGAATGGTTTTTTAATTTTAATTTTTTTTTAGCCTGTATACTGTATACAACATACCTACCAGAAGAAGTGCTTTGGTTTCAACATAATATAGTATCTTATCTTTTAGCAAATTGGATCAAGATGGTACTTTAGAGAGGTGGTTTTTTCGATTTTCTCATAATTATTTAATGCCACGGAAAAAAACTATCGACAAATTACGAAAAACAGCTAAAAATTTGATTTTAATTTCTAACGCTTTGTTTATCACCATAACAACGAATACAAAATTATAATATTATAATATTAATTCAACTAACAGGCTATAATAAATAATAACAATATGAAAATCCAGACTGATAAACCGGCTCCGCTCAGAATCGTTTTTCTTATACAATGATATTATATCATTGAATTAAAGTTTAATACAATCCATTATACATTGACCCACTTTTAACCTCTACTGTACAGCAGAGCGACATCCTGCACTTACCCGCTTTTTTGAAAACTGTATTGGACACGTTAAAAAAATATATTTTAGGGATAAAGATGGACCCCCAAAATCAATGGATCCCGGGAACGTGCTCCCTTTGCCCCCCCCCCCTTAATCTGGGCTTGGTGATTGGAGCAAATTTTCTTATTCAAAACGAGATGACACACATACCAACACACAAACAAACATAATATTATAATAACACACATGAAAGTAAAACCAATACATTCCGCGCTAATAATCTAAAATATTATTTTAATACAAACTTCACAAAATATTGTATGAATGTATTAATATATAAATATATAATAAAATATATAAACCCATTGAAAAATAAATTAAATCCATTAAATATAGTTTAAATTTGAAATATTCGTTAAATTACCTAATAACAATAACTTCAAATTTTTCATCTATTATCCACATTTATGGTGGAACGGAGGTACCGAGAAGTCGTCAAGATAGCTAGCCTCAAGCTATCAATATTTAGGATCTACGTTGATCAGTCAGTGAGACAGCTTTCAACGTTTGATTTATTGATTATATTATAATATTATTGTAGCGTTGACCATGAGACACGCTTGTGATTATGGGAGCAGTATATTTTCAGGTAAACGGACCCCGCGGTACGTACGTAATTACGAATGCTTTATTAGCACGTTGTTTATGATGATATATAATTTTGACCAAGTATAAAATAGGTACCTACAGGTCTAAAATTATATTCAATCATAACCAATAGCAACCTTACAATAAACAAAAATATATTTTGTTTGCTGGACAGCTGGCACCACTGCAGTAGTAATTTTTTCATCCAGTTTTTTACTTTTCCGGTGGATTTTCATAAAATTGCCTGCTATACAAACCTTGTCCTGACAATTACGAATACAACAGAAAAAAAATCAGTCAAATCGATCGAGAAAAAATAACAATATAGGACATAGTATGTAAAGACTATCCGTTTGCCCATAAAGTTTATAAAAACTACATCTGTCTATAGAGTATATTATAAAGACTACGTCTGTCCATAGAGTATATTTTATTATAAAGACAACGTTTATAATATTAGTGCAACGGTATCGAATTCAAATCTCAGATATAATTTAAATTTGTTTGAAATTGTTTGACATTAATGACATATTCCGTAGACTTTTCAAAAGTGTTATTTCATACAAACTTCGTCTTGAGAATTACGAACAGAACAAAAATAAACTATTCAAATCGTTAGATTAATTAATTTTTACATATATAGATTGCCTAGTTAATGAAGAGGACTTCATTAAATTAACTCACTACTCAGTATATTTCTGAAATGTAACTGTATTAAATATTTAACGAACTAATATGATCTGAAATTATGCCAAAACCATACATGATAATACGAAACTTTAAATTTTAAAGGACAGCTTAGACCTTAGTGCAGTAAATATGAACGAATAGTGCCAATAGAGGAGTATGGTGGTGATGTGGAATTAATTTACTAATAAACGAATTCAAACCTTATTATAATATTATATGACGTGTAGTTATTTTAATTATTATTTTACTGTAGATTAATAAATTATAATAATATAACTATATCTACCTAAACCAATATATGTATGTGAATAATTATGTACATTACTATACAATATATAATTAATTAACTTATAAACCTATTTCAACCTTTTTTGCACAAAGCTCCAAACAGTAGTTTTAGTTGATTAAACCCTCGCCCAAACGGTATATAATATCTATTCGCTAAAACGGACTATAATTATTTGGGTCGATTTGCCCAAACGGTCTACGCTCAACGAAGTGTTCGGGATCAGCTAGTTATATTAAAATGTTCATAATTTAAATAAGTCAATAAAATCAAAGATTTTTTTTTAAAACGTACAGGTTAACACCTATAATTGGTGCTATAATATTATAT